TTTCTGGTGATTCTTTTAAAATAAAATCGGTGATGACCGGACCAAATCAAGTTTTTTAATTTTGTTTTAGGAAATATAATAATATAATAATTACTGTCCTTTAATTCTAAAAAAAAAAAAAAAATTTAGAATATCAAACAAAATATTAAAATATTAAAATGTTAATTCTATGTGAGAAATCTAATTTTGTCATTCATAAACAAACAGTAATACTAAATCTATTCTTTTTTTCTTTTCTCAAATTATATATGAACATTATGAACACTACAGATTTATTTACTTGTTATGTGCAGAATTGTTTACATATTTCCTTACATATTTACTTGGAGATGCATTTCATATTCATCTTTTCCTTATACTTGTTTTAATCCTTTTTGTCTGCTTTAATCTTCCTTGTCCCCCAACTTCTATTTAATATAATAAATAATTAATAAATTAAAATTAAATAAAAATAAATGAGATGACAACGGTTAATATATAAATAGTTTATAAATATTAGTATTATTAATATAAATAGAATAAGTTAAAAACTGAATACTCTATTTATCTATATTTAAAAAAATTTTAAAGTTTAATAATATTAATTATATTTAAAAATTTTTTATTATTAATGGGTCAAGTAAGGAAATTAACCATCATGTTTATAATAGCATATGGTATAATAAGTTTATAATATTATATATAGTTAAGTTTATTATCAGTATTATTATTATATTATACATAGATATACTTGTAACATCGATCCAAGATTATTATTAGTAATATACTGCGCATCTGTCATATTAATTTAATTTATTTCTAATTTGAAGAATTGTGGTCAATATAATAATAATAATAATAAAAAAAAAATTCGAAACTAAGACATTGCAACATTTTAATGAATGAATGAATTTGAATGAATGAACAAATTGTATACAGAATAAATTGAATCCGAAACAACAGAAAAGCTTATTTGTTTGATAACAACTTTGATCAAGTTGCATAACTACTCACGAACCTTATTTCTTTCTGCTTTACCCTTCTTGCGCAACGTCAATAAATTAAATAATATAACTATTTATTTATTTTATTTATTTATTTTAATTATTTATTTATTTATCATCTCTATTTACTATTTTATTTACTATTTTATTTACTATCTATACATCCTAAGGATTTACTATCTATGCACAATCTTTATGTTACATAAATATATATGTTCATAAATATATACTACATAAATGTATGCTACATAAACATATGTATGCACACATTGGATTTACTATTACTATCGATTTACTCGATTTACTCGATTTACTTTATACCGATTAATATTATTGGTTTAGTAAAGATTTTATATTTCTCTCCTTTTTATTATTTATTATTATTGTTATTTATTATTATATTATTTTATGTTTATAGTAATTCATTAGGCGATGATTTTTTTATATACGTCATTTTCCAAAAACGAGTTTACTAACGAGTAAAAATATCGCTTAATATCATTTAATAAATATCATTATATGCGTATTATTATTATAACTTGAGACTTGAGTGAGTGAATGAACATTATATAACATATGTAGAAGATTATTACAGAATGATATTTTGAAATCCAAATTAATTGTAAAAATGAGTAAATGAAGTTCACATTTACTTTTAAATTTTTTGGTAAAACGTAATAATAAATTATAATCATAACAACAATAAATATTTTGATAGCTAAACATTAAATTTAATTTAAATATTTACTATTTAATTTATTTAATTTATTTAATTTAGTTTATCATTTAATTTAATTTTTTTAAGTTTTAATAAGTTTATTTATTTATTTAAAAGTAACTCTAGATAAATTATATAAATTATATAAATTATATATAAATTATATATAAATTATATATAAATTATACAAAGTATAAATCAAAAATTCCTATTTTGGAGATATACAAAGATTTATTTTTAACAGATTTGATAATCTGAGATCTTATCATCAGATTGTCGATCACTACGTATTGAATTAGCAAGGATTGACAATGCACGACATTAAAATGGTCATATGTACATATATTTGATCCGTTTTGTCTTCATTTTATTTTCACCAAATCATTATGGAAACGTTGTTCTTTGGAATTAGATTTTTTTCTATTTAGTAAATCTTAACTTGAAAAAGAAAAGAAAGAAAAGAAAAGAATGAAAGAATGAACTAACAAAAACTAACAAAATAATCAGGATAATAATCGGACAATAATTAGATAATAATTGGACAATAATTGGTCTCCTTCTTCCAATAGCAAATAAGAAAAATACTTGTATTAATAGAATTAGAATATTAGCCATTTAGAAATATTAATAATATTAATGGTAATATTGATCACTATATTTCGCCTATACATTCAATAGTACATTTAATAGTGATATTAGATATTTATAGTAAAACAAATTTACAACAACAAAAACGCCATTTCACATCCTTTTACATTCTCTATTGTATATCGTTAAAAGTATAGTTGTTTAAAAGGATTGTTTACATAATAACGTAAAACACAATGTAGAAAAAAAAAGGTGCAGGGAATTTTTTTTTTTTTTTTTTAAAAAAAAAAAAGAATCGAGAAAAATCATGAGCAACGGCAGTATTATTATTGTTATTATTAATCGTTTATTTACTATTGTTATTATTTCATTACCGATTATTATGATATCCTATTTTTTTTTTCTATTTTTTTTTGATTGGTCAATGATTTACCAGAAGTTAGCGTAAGAGAAGAAAAAAAAACTCTCTTTTATTATTTATTATTTTTCACGTTTTTCCGGATACTGTTTTCCCACTATCCATAAGTAACTATTGTAATCACGGTGTGATAAATTGTGTAATTATACTGTGTAATCAACAATCAACTACCGAATAAATTTAATAAAATTTAATTAATTAATTTAATCGTTAATAATAATAAATAATAAATATTTAGTAATAATAGTAAATATTTAATATTTAGCAATTTATAATACATAATATATATATATTAATTTGTAAAAGTTTCCAATTTTGATTCCTTATCTAGAGCATTACATTATTTTAAAATTGGATATCAATCGCGTCATCACCATCAAGATAAGATAGTAAGAATGCATTATCTATTGTTTAGAGTAGATGCGTTTTACTAATCATTTCTTAATTTGGTGTCAATGTATAAATTTTATTATTTTAATTAATTAATTATTTGTTGTTATTATTATTATTATTATTATTATTATTATTAAATATTTATTATTATTATGATTATTATTAAATATTTATTATTATTACGAATTATTATTAAAATATTAAGTCGAAGATCTCAAGGTTCGTGATCGTTTCGTGATTGTTTCGTGATTGTTTCGTGAAATTTCCGAGGTTTCCGTGTTTCATTTTAGATAACTAAATTAATGCATTTAATATCATTAACAATGTAATTGGTTCTATAGCAAATAAGGAAATACAATAAATTATAAATTTCACCAGGGTCACGTTTAAACGAACGAACAAAAACGACAATATTATTATTTGATATCAAATTAATCAAATTATCATATTTAAACTTACACATCTTAAAAAGGTTGAGAAAAAGTACGAAGGAAATTTTTTTCGAAAAAATAATTATTTAGAAGGTAGGACAAATAAAAACACGCAAAGTAATATTAGTGTATATTTTAAATAAACTTGCTTAAAATGATCATGCATATCTCTTTATAATTTCTTAATATAAATTTACTTTTTCTTCTTTTTTTATTAATTTAATTTTATTTTACTATACTATAACTGTTTTTATTACATATTACTTTAGTAAAGACCGTGAGAAATTCCCTGCCTTGCCTATAGGAAAAAAAAAGAAACTTTTTTTCTAAAGAATAATATCAATAATAAAACAATAATAACAATCACAACTATTATTTAAAGTATACTGTATTATTACTAACCTATTACAATATTATGCATGTAAATACGTATTTATCTTCCTTTGCTCTAATAAAGTATAATAGAAAGAAATTCTTTTTAATGTAATCATGCAAAACTAACATGTGTCAATAATCTAATAATCTCAAGTAACTAATTTAAAAAAAAAATTGTCTCTTTTTTTTTATTATATCTTTAATCGTATCAACTACTTTTTTCTATTGTGCATTTTTATTTAATTTAATTTATCCATTTAATCATAAATCTTTGTATAGTGTGTATTTTGTTTTTTTTTTGTTCCCAAACACAATCAACCGCCCAACTTTTTTTTTTTCGATATAAAAATGGGGCATACTGCAGGTAAAATATATGTAGAGTAAACATTAACATTACAGGCCTTACAGGCATTACAGGCATTACAGGAATTACAGTCGCTACAGCATTGTAGGGTTTCAATAGTTTTTGTTATTCCCTAGTTTTTTTTTTTTTTTTTTTTGAATGTCAAGTGACCTTTAAAAATTGTACTTTCCTTTTTTGTACTTGACAATCAATTATTTCTCTTGGATTAATGAGATGAGATAGAAATTGTTAATCACTTTTCTAAATTGATTATAAATAATATGATATAATAATAAAATCAATAATTGAAATAGTTAAGTTAAAGAATACAACAAAAATTACTATAATTTACATCATACCTATCATACCTTATATACCTTAATATGTATTTAAATGCAAATGATTTTAATTTACGTAAAAATTACTTACCTTTAAATTCGAGTCAAGGTTTTGTAACAAGAAATATATTTATCACGAAGTAAAAGAGGGTGTCTTGAATTTATGACATTTTATTACGTACAACAGTTATAATTATTATTAATTTGTTTTACATAGCTTTTGAATTTACATTTATTATGGAGTAAAAGAGGGTGTCTTGAATTTATGACATCTTGTTACATGAAACAGTTATTTATTATTAATTTAGTTTATAGCTTGAAAATTGTTGTATATTAAGATTTAAAAGATTTTAAAATGTACGAAGATGGAAAGATATAAAAATATAAACGTGAAATATAAAAAAAGTTTATAACTACAATTCAATAATTCCATCTATCCACATATTATTCATATCATTTCTAACCATTTGAATAAGTTCTTTTACTTCACTTTCCAATTGTTCAGAAATATTTCTTAAATCTTCCCAATTCACTGGAGATTTTGATTGATTATCAATATTATCAATATTATCATTATTATTATCTGGACTTGAATGTAATGAATGTAATTTCATTAATTCATCCTTTTTGAATTTTATATTCGTTATTTTATCTTTTATTATAATTTGATTATTGATAAAACAATTAATTCTAGCGTCATTTTGTTGCTGATTTAAAGAAGTTTCTAAAAATAAAAATAAAAATATTAATGATTATTGATATTAAACCTTATAATATATATTATATGATATAAATTTTAATATTATTTACCTGGTTCATCAATATCCATCATATTCTCATCTTTTACTGAAAAATCTTCAAGTCTTCTTAATACAGCTTCTTCTACAAGTAGTAAAGTCTCTTCTGAATTACATTTAATTCTAAGTTCAACAGGTATGGTATTTGAGGGAATTGATTTGTTTACATCATTTTCATTCACTAAATTAAATGATAAAATGTTTTACAAGAGGAACATTAATAACAACAACTTAATAATAATATTAAAATATTAATAAAATTAATAATATTAATAAAATTAATAACATTAAATATATACTAAAAATATTAAAAATATTAATAATATTAATATTAACAACAATCACATACATCTCTTAAAATTAAAAATAATAGGTTCTAAACTCAATGGTGTCATAAATACAGCATAATCAGCTTTAATCACAATTTCAGGTAGATTAGAACTAAATAAAGAAATAAAGAAATAAATTAATTAAAATTAATAAAAAGGAATAACAAGAATATTATTATTATACTTACATATCAATAACACCCCCCAAAATCATTGGCAAACATCTATTAAATGCACCATCATTTAAATAATTTAAATCATTTCTTTCAGATTCTTCAATATTGGGTTCAATATTAGATTCAATATTAGATTCATTATTGGAATTATTATCATCATCATCATTTGTAATATTAAATGTTCTTAAGAAAAACTTGATAATAGCTAAATTACAATTAAGAGATGATATTAAATCAGAAATTGGTTTTTCCTGTATATAAAATAAATAAAAAATCAAATTTTAGTATTATGAAATGTTAAAACATGATAAAATGTGTAGATGGAATTATTTTCATTACATCACTTCCATGAGCACAAATTATTGTTTCTATTGCTTTCCTAAGATCAGTTTTTGTAGCAAAGAAATTTCCATCTAAAGGGGAAATAAATTCAGGAAGACTTGAAGTATTATTATTATTATTATTATTGGTATTATGATAAGTATTAGTAGTAGTGGTAGTGGTGGTGGTAGTAGTATTAAAATGTCTTTCACTTTGTAAACGATGTAAAATATTTGATGGACATGGGTTAATGAAATCCAGTATATCATATTGGAAATTGCTTAATGCGAAATAACTAGATTTTGCTTTAATTATAATACATAAAGAAAATGTAAATTAAGTAATTATCCAATTTAATCCAATTAAATCAAATTAAATCCAGTCAAAGGATTTCTTTAAAAAAAAAAAAATATGTAATATAATAACTTACGTTCATAATAATTATTATTGGTTGTTGATTTGTATGTTGGTGCGGGTGGTGAAAAACATAAACCAAGATTTATTGATATTGGAAAATGAAGAAATCTTAAATTTATCTCTAAATCTCTTTCCCTGCATAAAATAATATTTATTTAAATACTTAATATTCCTAATATTCTTAATATTTTAAAAAAATATTTTAAATGATATTTTACCAAATAATATTCATATCAGCCTTCATATCAATCAACGGTATTGAATAAGACATAACAGGAAATGAATCATTTAAATTTCTAATGGAAGTGTGTTTTTGAAGAAGGCCAGGTGAATTTAAATTCATCATACGAACAATAACTGGAAATAATATCGAGTTAATTATATATATATATATATATATTATATACGAAGATAGAAATAAAAAATATATAGAGATTTAAAGGATACGTGACCAATATTGAGACCAATTTATTCCTAATAAACTTGACAAACGTATTTTTATATGAGCACGATTTACTACAACACTTCCTGTCAAAGAAATTGGTAGAATGAAAGGTGTACATTCAACTTTCAAAGGGGATTGGTTTATATCATCCTTTATCATAGAGTTGCTGTTGTTCTTTCGTCTTTTATAAAGTCTTTGTAGTTCTGGGATAACCAAATTTCTTGCAGTTATTGCTTCATTCAATAGCTTTATTATTATAGTGATTTGTTGTTTTAATGTTACTTGTTAAATAAAGTCATTGTTTATAATGTTATTGTTAATGTTTAATTTTATAAATTTTACCTCATTAATTTTTTCTAATTCTTCTTGTTTGGTTGAAAATTCTGCAATTCTATTTAATTTATTTTTAACTTCACTCTGCATTTCTTCTTCATTCATTAAATGCTTTGAAGTATTTTCACTGATATGTATACATAATAATTTTTAATTTGATGTATGCTTATTATTATTATTAATCATTTAATAACATAACATTACATCATCAATAACATTAACAAACCTTGAAAATGTAAAACTTGCTCTGATCAATTTTCCCTCAAGAGATAATGCATATAATATCCCCTCACAAGATTTATTATCTTCAACATTATAATGACATAATCTAATAATTCCTCTGGGAAAATATACTGGAATTGTGTATAATGTTACAAGTTTGCCTGAAACATTCAAATCATAACAAATTATTATTAAAATTTGTTATTAAATTTATTAAAAAAAAAAGAAACTCTAATGTTATAGTTACCTTGGGAGAACATAATATTATCAAAATTCATAATTAGGATTTTTCCTGTTTCTACTGCTAATATTAATCGATTCTATTTGTAGATAGATATATATATTTTTTAGTTTCTCATGTGATATATATGATTTTGATATTTCATCATGAAATTCAATAATTACCTTTATCAAAAGTGATGAATGAATTGGCTCAGAAACATAATATTCTTTATATGCTATTGAATTTTCATCTGATTTTTCATCATCATCTAACTTTCCATCACCATCATCACCACTTGAATTATTTCCACCACCATTTGTCATTATGGCAACTGTAAACTTGGTCCTAATGAAATGGTCAATAAAAATAATATTTCATATAATAAAAAAATAAAAAATAATGAAAGGTAAAACCAACCCTACTATAAGAAATGCATTACAAGGTTTCTCATTATTATTAATAATGACATTTCTTATTACTTTTGATTCATCAACTTCTCTTTTGAGTGATAATGCATAAATTGCTTGAATTGGTTCCTAAATTAAGAATTGTATAATGGGTAGATGGATAGATCATCACCATGGTTGCAAATCATATATAGGAAATTAAATAAATATAATCATACTTTCAAAGCTGTCACAATTCCTGAGAAGGGAGTAGAAATGGAAGTGGAATTGGAATTGGAAGGGATGGTAGAAGCATCAACATTATTATTATTCATAATCAATGGATGATAATAAATTAAACCATTTGAATATCCTGTAAGTAAAAATATTTCCTGTTGAAAACTATTAAAAATTAGTTGACAAGGATTTTCATTTTTCCAAAGATAATAGTAATTCAGTTATTATTTAAATTATTAAATTATTACTTTGATGATGATGCTGATGATAAGGAACCAAAAGTTATTGATGCCAATTCTTTGGATATTATTGTATTAGATATTGATAATTTTGAAAGTGAATTATAATTTTTGTTGTTATCTATAGAACTTGTCTTCTTTTTGGAATTATCAAGATAAAGTGGAATTATTAAAATTATTGTTTGTTAAGATAATGATTATTATTATTACTATTATTACTTGAATATATATATATATATTAGTATATTTAAATATCATTTTTTTTTAAAAAAAAAGGATATCAATTAAACTACAAGTAATCTTGAAATTCTGAGATGATGATGATGATATAGTTTGATGAGGATGAAATAAAATTTGATAAGTGGTAGTAAAATCCTTCTTCTTCTTCAAAGAAAGAAATCCAATTTCTCCATCTTGACATATTAATATGATACCATTATTATTATTCTCAAAAAGGTTGCATGATTGTAATTCACAAAGTCCTGACTAAAAAAAAAAAAAAATTAAATAAGTATAATAACATTGCATGTGGAAATAAAATATGTAATTACTTGCCTTTTGAAAAATCTTTTCATCATTTGTAACATTGATTATTGAAGGTGAAGAAAAGATGGAAGTTTCAAAAGGGGGTAGATTATTAGATAATAATAATAAATTGGATGAATTAAATGTAGAATTTTGTAATGTTTTATCATCACAATCATCATTATCTCCTTTTTGATCTTTTTCTTCATCATTTATTCTTTTAGAATATGGATATTCATTTAAATCTGTCTCAAAATTCCTAAAAGAAATGATAGAAATAAATAGATAAATAAAAATTACATGCATATATATATTAGTAACTTTAAATAATTAATTTTTCTTATTTACCTCTTCTTTCTCTGTATAGGAGATTGTATACACCAAATAGAACCATCAAAAGTTAAAACTAGAAAACAAACAGATGAAGATGATTCTTCTTCAATTTTATTTGTTAGAATATCAATAGGATCGGAGGGAAAATTCAAGATTTCTTTAAGAGTTTCTTTAAAAAATATATGAATTTTGTTTGGAAGTATTCTTGCTATCAACCAATCATTATTATCATCATTATTATTATCATTATTATTATCATTATTATCATTATTATTATCATTATTATCATTATTATTATCACTGTTATTGTTATTGTTATTTTCATTTTTTTCATTTTTTTGTTGTGAAGCGATACATTTGATTAGTAATTTTTCCTCTCCAAAAGGTCTCGGAAGATTATATGAATTTAGTATTTTAGCATCCATATGTGAAAAATGAAAAAAAAAATGAATTTTATTTATTTTCTTTGGAAAAAAAGAAAGATCCGAAAAAAAAAATTTATTTCGGAAAAAAAAAAAAAAGGCAAATTTTATATCGATGGTGACACCAAACAATAAATTATTATGCGAGAGTTTATTTTTTATACAAGAATATAATTTACAATTTACTTTTATTATTAATATTATGATTATCATCCGCCAGAGTTATTTTATAACCCATTCTTGGAAACCAAATTGCCACTTCAATTCCAGTTTTAACTACATCATCAGGAACGATGGCAACATGTGAATTACCCAAACTAACAATAATTCCGATGGTAGGAATTTTTCCATAATCTTCAGGTTCAACTTTAACTCGATCTCCAACCTTTCTAAAGAGATCCTTTTTATCTTCCAATTGTGCAATTCTTGCGGTTACCGGTTTATATTGTTTGGCAATATTTAATGCTTCTTCTCCCGTAATATTAATAGGAAAAAGTTGAATTTTATCAACATAATTTCTAAATCTTTGAAACCATTTATAAGTTTTAGGATATTTTTCCAGACTAGTAAATTCTTGAGCACTTTTAGTAACATTTAAGAAAAAGAGTTGTACTCCAATATTAATATCAGCCATTCCGGGTGTTACGGTATCTAAAAACCATTCTCGATCATCATTTAATTGTGATTCAGTTAATTCTAAGCAAGATCGAAGTTCATCAAGAGTTTGTGAACGAGTAGATAAAAGTTTTTCGGGATCGATTCTGTAACCTATAAGAGACGAACGATCATCTATAAATTCTTTGCTTAAGAAAATTTTAGGTGTTTTTGGATCAATAGAAGCGAAAGATGATCGTAAAGTTGCATTGAATAAGTAACGCTAAATTTATTGAAATTACAACAACAATAAATTTTATGAATTTTATGTTAGAATTGTTGAAATGTTATTAATATTATTATTTAATTTAATATCATTAATACATACATCAGTCCAGAAAATCATAGACTTGGCGATACCAATATCACTTTTATCTGATCCTTTTCTTTTAGGGAAAAGGGAAGGTTCTGGAAATCTATTATTTATGATTTGTTGTTATTATTATTTTATTTTTATTTTTATTTTTTTTTTTGATTTTATTAATTTATTTATTTATTATTTTATTTTAATATTATTGTTTTATTACATTTATAAAAATAACGAAATAATAAATCGAGAAAATAAATGTACTATACCTTCTTTCCAATTCCTCCAAAATCATAGAAGTATCCACGAAAATATCGGATCCAATTTGAAGTACTGGAATGCGTCGATATCCATGAGCCAATTGCTTTAATAAACTTAAAAAAAAATTTTTTTTTTTGAATCAATTAATTTATTTATTTATTTTTATTTTTTTTTTTTTTTAAAAAAAAAAAAGAAAGTTGGTAAAAATTAATAAATGTTTAAAACTTACGGTCTTGGGACGATTGGAGAAACAGTTACCGATTTCCAAGGTACTTTTTTAATGGCAAGCGCCCAAATAACTTTCTTGGAAAAGGGCGAACCTAATAATAAGAATTAATTCATTTCATTTTATAAAATAAAAGATAAATATAAAGATAAATAATATAATATAATATATATAACAGATAACAAAATCATTCGTATTAATAGAAACAACAACAAATAATGATAATAAAGTTTACCAGAATAATGATGTAAAACGAGAGGAGGTTGATCAATCATTGTCTTGTTAATTTTTAATTTTCTTTGATAAAATTTCTTTATAAATAGTGCAAATCATATCGGCAATTTTTGTCCAATTTTATCCGAATGTTAAATCTTGAATAAAATTAGATTATTTTTTTTTTTTTACTTAATATCATGAACGGGTAAAATATTTCTTACCATTCCGTAATTCATATGAAATTCGACCAAAAAAAAAAATAATTACTTTAATTATTTACTCGTTCATCATTATCATTATAAAATAAAAAATCCGATTTTCCAAAAAAAGGCATCAGTATTGTACATTTTAGGTTTTTCTGTCCCAATATCCGCGTCCGCTCTGTCTCTACCTTTAATGAGCTTAATGAACTTATAAAGATATATTAAAACTTTATAAATATATGCAAAATCAATTCTGAACAACTTTAATTAATGACTCAATAGGTTTTTTATAATAAAATTTTTCGTTATTTACGTTTTGAAAACAATAATTTTTATATTGTCCTTGACAATACTACTTCGTATGTGCGCAACAAATTAGACCCGCTCATGAAAAACAAATTAGCATACGCATTCTCACCATATGAAAGATTATTTGATGATTATCTACCAGAAAAAGGTGGTGATTCCTGAAGAAATATTTTATTAAAATCGTTCAAAAAAGAAATTACAATGTTGAAGAACGAACTCGTAGCTTTTTTTTTTTTCAATACTCTATTTCAATTATTTCCACTAAATTTTATAAAAATTCATACCAAAATATACATGTTTGGCCTTTGAATCATAACGTGTACAATGTTTTATGATTCTTTCTAATGATAATAACTTCTCATCATTAAGTTCTCTTTCGATGTTGATGTGATTTTTACGGAAAGCGGCTCTTTTCAAGTCAAATGTCAACTTTCCACGACTATAATTTGTTAGAGTCAACATGGGGAAAAAGTAATTTTTCTTTCTCGTTCTTAAGATTCTCAACAGTTTGACTATTATTAATTTCAATTGGAAAACATGTTCAGTTGGATCTTCTACAACGAAATAGTTTAATAAAAAAAAATAATAGATATATTGTATAAAATTCCACCGTGAGTTTTTTTTTAAAATGCAAAATCGCAAGAATTTTTCTTATATGGTTATATGGTTTAGTTGCTACCGGAAAAAATTTCATAAAACGACTATTTATGTGTCGCACAAGCTTGTTATGATCGCGAGACGACGTTAAATTGGCTAAATTATACTTCTTTAGAATTACCCAATACTAAATTTTAAAATATTATCATTTTTATCATTATTAATACTTACTGAATTTATATTTCGCGAAATGTTATATCGATATCTTTATAAAGAAAATAATTGTACTTCGATAAGTTGATTTATTGAGTAATTTTCATTTCGTAGGTGTTTCAAATTAAATAGATACAAAGCTTTTTCATGATGCTTAAATTTAAACAGATAAAGTTAAATTATTTTAAATATATAAATAGGAATGAAAGAATTCAAATGAATTAGTAAAAGTCAACTCAACCTGTGTTTAGGTTATTATTATAAATATTAAATAATCAATTTTTAATAAATTAATTTTTTTTTTAAAAAAAAACGAACAGATTAAGTGGCCAAAGAGTCAAAATTCAAATATAGAAACAACATAAACATGATTGAGATAAGATGATTTAGATGTATTTTTATTATTTCTCTAATTTTCAAATATTCTCAAATATTCTAAAATTAGTGATTACCTTGTGATTAAAATAGCTCATAAATTGTTTGAATTATTAACGCCAAATAAAGTAAATTGTATTTAAGATATATCTAGATTGAGTCTAATGATATAAAATTTGGTATAATGTTAGATATAAAATTTACTATTCACAAATATGTAGATATTTTAAATTTAAATTGAGTTTGATGTCGTCTTCATCAAAAAACAAGACTAAAATATAAATTCTTGGTGAAATTTAGCCTCTTTTATATTATTTTTATTCTTTTTTATTACACAAATAATAATAATTCAACGTTTATTAAGAATTTTAATGATTACACAGTGTAAATTTACTTTTCTTTTTTTCAAAAACAAAGAAATACGAATATAATAGGAAATATGGCGTGGAATACCTCGTTTTACTTTTGTTAAATAATAAATATAATATGATGGCATATTACGTTAGGTATTTTTTGGTTTAAAAAAAAAAATTAATTAAAAAAATCGAATCTTGCAATAATTAAAAAAAATTGAATCTTGATGCTAAAAAGAAATATAAAGTAATATAATATAAATAATATAATATAATATAATATAAATAATATAATATAATATAATATAAATAATATAATATAATATAATATAAATAATATAATAAATAAAATAATAATATAAAAAATAAAATATAGTTTAAAAAACAAAGATTTATACGATAAGATAATAGATAAGATAACAGATAAGATAAGATCTAGCGTATTAAATTACGTAAATGTCAATCATTATATAATAAAAATTCGTGAGGTCGTGATCTATCTCATAAAAATCCCTCATATTATGTTATTTGGGTTCAGAAAATCATATTCAATCCAGTTTTAGAATCTCTCTATGTCATTATGCATTTGCACTATAACAATAACGAATATTGATCGACATACAAGATAAATTTTCATCTTCAAGCTAGTAAAGATTTCTTCTCGACGGACATTTTTATCAATAAATAAATAAATTTCTTAACTAATTAAAATATTTTATACCGGCCGGCATTAAAAACTACCAGCGTTAATTTACATACGGCTGCGGTTATAAATCCACGCGTTTTAATTGGTTGTTATGTTCAAAAATTTTTTTTATTATCAAATACAAATTTTTTGCAAATACAGCAATTTTGAAACAATTATTACATAACGTAACTAATTTATAAATATATTACGCAGTCATGTCTAGATTAATTTGAACAGTCTTCACTTGAGTATACTCTTTCAATGCATACTTTCCAAGTTCACGACCTATTCCAGATTGTTTAAATCCACCAAACGGACTAATTTTAATAAAATAATTAATAAATATCAGATGAAATTATAGTGAAATATAATAGTAGCGACAAGAGAATATAAATTACTTACGAATAAGAGTCGAATGTATTATAAAGGTTAACTAAAAATAAAACGAATAATTAAAAATATAAATAATAATAAATATGATAAATCTAAATCTAAAAAAAAAAAAAAAATACCCCAAACAGTTCCAGCTTTCAACTCGTTAGAAATCTTGATAGCACGTGAAACATCTTTTGTGAATACGGCAGCAGCCAAACCATAGGTGGTCATATGAGCTTTTTCAATAACTTCTTCAATCGTATTAAACTTTGAAATTGCAACCACGGGACCAAAGATTTCTTCTTGCATTATGGTCATTTCTTCTTTCTATAAATATCAAGTGTGGTTACAAGCAGCATTATTATTATGATTATTATTATTAAAATTAAATAAAATTAAATTAAGTATATTAAAATTTACCACATCAGTAAAAATAGTCGGTTTAATAAAATATCCCTCTTTCCCATGTCTATCACCTCCCATCAAACAAGTAGCACCTTCCTTTTTTCCAGTTTCGATGTAACCCATAACCCTTTTATTGAATTTTATGTAGAATTATTAAATTAATATTATTATTCTTGTTGATGTTATCATTGTAAAAGAACTTTTTAAATTTTTTTTAAATTTAAAAGAATCGAACTTATACCTATCAAATTGTATTTTAGAAACAACTGGTCCTTGATAAGTATCATTTTCGAATGGATCGCCAACTTTCATCTTTTCCGTATGTTCTTTAAATTTATTAATAAATTTATTATATACGGAATTTTCGACATAAACTCTTGAACCGGCACAACAACATTGACCATGATTAAAGAAAATTCCCGAATGGGCCCATTTAACTGCTTCTTCAAGATCGGCATCAGCGAGTATGATATTGGGAGATTTTCCTCCTAATTCCAAAGTTACTTTTTTCAAATTACTCTCAGATGATGCTTTTAAGATATATTTTCCTGTCACAGTGGAACCTTTAATAAAGATTTAGTAAAGAAATATACGTGAATAAATATATGAATAAATTATATATTAAAAGATTTAATACTGTAAATAAATAAATAAAATTACCAGTAAAGGCAATTTTATCAATCTTCATATGATATGCTAAATTTTATTAAATTTTTATTAAAATGAATATAAATAAATATAAGCAAATAAAATAAATATAAAATTTATATATCTCTTAAATATAGGTGAAAATAAAATGGAAATAAGTGGCAATTACCCATAGCACTTCCAGCAGGTTTGCCATATCCACTCAAAATATTGACAACACCTTTCGGAAATCCAGCTTCTTTAATCAAAGCGGCAACTTTTAATGCAGTCAAGGGAGTATATTCAGAAGTTTTAAGCACAATTGTGTTACCTATAAAAAATTATTTTTTTAAAAAAAATAATAAATTAAATAAAATTTTAAAAAATCAAAAAATCAAAGAATAATAGCAGATATAAATTACCGCATGCTAAAGCTGGACCGAGTTTCCAGGCTTGCATCATTAAAGGAAAGTTCCATGGAATAATTGCAGCACACACACCAATAGGTTCATGCCGAGTGTAACTGAATTTTTTTTCCGATTCAAAAGTCTATAATAATAATAATAATAATAATAATAATAATCCCCATTAGAGAAGTTAGAAAAGATAAAGACGATAATATGATAGAGAATATAGAAAAATAGAGATGATAAAGAAGATATGTATAATAAAATTTCATCAGATAAGATAGATTACCTTTCCATGAATCTTATCACACCATCCAGCATAATATCTGTAAACCTCAATTGACATCGAGAGGTCAGTTTCCTTAGATTCTTTATAAGTTTTACCATTATCCAAAGATTCTAAAGCAGCCAATTCATCCAAATCACGTTCCATCAAATCTGCTAATTTATTAAGCAGTTTACATCTTTGAACTCCAGTAAAATATCGCCAAGCTTCATTAAAAGCTTTCTCGGCAGCATCAACTGCTATATCAACATCTTTTTCTGATGCTTCAGCTACCGTGGTAATAATTTTTTCGGTAACGGGATTAATGGTTTCAAAACGTTTCCCATCAACCGAGTCGACAAATTCGTTATTGATAAATAGACCAGTGGGAGCTAAAAAAGAAATTAAAATTATTTATCACTTAATAGTAGGATAATTCTGATAATAGCTAATTATATTATAATAATTTACTTTTAATAGTCTTATTATTTGGTAAAGTGATAGTTGCTTCGTTTGGACTCATTTTTTTTTTTTCGCAAAATAAAAAAAAATGTAGAATATCAAAATATTGGATTATTTTTTTTTTATATCAAATAGAACATGACATTTTTTATGACGAATTTTAACTTAATGAAGATAGATTGATAACTTTTTCATAGTATTGATATTTGGAACTTTTTTTTTTTTAAAAAAACATTTAATTTTCAGCCATCCATAGATTTCCTAAATCAATTAAATCTTCACTTTACTTTATATAAATATAGATTTTAACCCTTTTTTTAATTATCAATTATAATTAAAATCACCGTGGGATATTTTTTTTAAAAAAATTGTAACGCTTTATATTTTACGATTAACCACGGATAGTATACTTTGTAATATGTGATGAAAAGTTAGGAAAACTTTTTGGAATAATGATCTTTAATATATTTTATTTATTTATGTGTAAAAAGAATTAACGTAAATTGAAACATAAAAATTAGCTTATACCATATTGGAAATTAAAAAAAAAAAAATCATTATTAGAACAAAAATTTTTTCAATAATAAAGATAATTAATCATCGATTAGTTAAAGTTTAAAAACTTTAAAAGTCAGCTTCATAATATTATTAGTGTTTATTTATATGTGAAGTGTGTGTAAAAATATTTCTTCACCAAAAAAATTTATACGACATTCCTCGAGAAATTTAAAAATTTAAACTCAGTCTGAAATCATTTTTATTAAAATACTCTTATTCACATTTTATTCACACTTTACAAGTAATTACACTTAATTTCGTAACAATGTTATTTTTATCATTTGGAAAAAATATCAGCATCGTCCAATAAAATCAAATTAACTTTCCAAGATGTCCACAAGCGAGAAGGAATCATTGGAATGTTGTTTCTTTATTTTTTGAGAAAATGGAAAACTTCAATACGGATTTTATGTTTATCAGAATAGGATAACACATATAACGTTAAGATTGTGGTATAAAGTTCTTGAATTTTTTACTTTTGATCTTGTTATTAAAAATGATCATAAATTAATTCCACACCATTTATTAAATTATATGAATCATTATTATCACTAATAATTTATTCAATATTATCATTCTTAATATCAATTTGTCATCCGTCATCAATTGTTTTTTAAAATTTTAGCTGCGTTTAAGATTTAGTAATGTTAAATAGAATGAGAAACAAAGAAGCAATGTTGAAAGATAATTTTGGAAAAGAATGAGATGAATATGTTAAAACTGGATTGAAATTAATTCCCTGATTATTCTATTTATCTATTTTATAAAAATAAATAATATAACTGCCGTATATAAAACTAACATATTTAAGCAACTATTCTAATCAATTAAATATATATTTTATTGCTCCCAGAATATCAAAGAATAATTAAAATCAACAATCAATATGTATGATAATAATTATCAATAATTATTATCCATTATGTAGAGTAATCACCAAAGAAGATGTTCTTCATATCTTCCAGTTAATCTCTTTAAATCTTACCAAATAACTATGTTACGTATGTTATTTAAACTAAATTTAGTTGGTCAGATAATCGCAAATAAAAACGTTCGTTAACAGATTAAGGAATTCATGTAACAGTTAATTCATTTCATTGGCCGAATCTTTTTTTAAAATACTTTATTTCTACCCCCACTTTACACAACACACTTTTATCTTATGTATAATAAGATAAAATGATTTCAAAATTTATTTCCGTAACAATATTATTTTATTATCTAGAAAAAGTATCAGCACCACCCAATAAAACCAAATCAACTTTCCAAAATGCCTACAAACGAGAAGGAATTGGAATGTTTCTTCCTTTACTGGCAAAAATTGGAAGACTTGAATTACTTATGACATACGGATTTTATGTTTATCTAATGTATCAACAAGAATATAGTGGAAAGTCGGAATATACTAATAATGATTTACCAAGATTATCAGAATGGGATAGTACATATATTGTAGTCATTATATCGGAAATTATTGGAATAACATTAAGATTATGGTGTTATAAAACTCTTGATGAATTTTTTACTTTTGATCTTACTATTCAAAAGGATCATAAATTAATTACTCGTGGTCCTTACAGATATTTAATTCATCCTTCGGTAAATATTTGATTATTATTTTATTTTCTATCTTTTATTATTATTATTATTATTATTTACATTATTTTTATTTATAGTACGCCGCAATGTTATTTATTTGGCCATATGTAATTTACTTTTCCTCTCAATTGGCACTATTTATTAAATTATATGAATCATCGTTATCACCAATAACTTATTCAATATTTTCATTCTCGATATTTATGTGTCATCCATCATCAATTGTGTTTAAAATTTTAGTTATGTTAATGATTTTAATAATGTTAAATAGAATGAGAAACGAAGAAGCAATGCTGAAAGATCATTTTGGGAAAGAATGGGATGAATATGTTAAAACTAGATGGAGATTAATTCCCTATTTGATTTGACTTAATTTCATTTTATTATAATTGTGTTCTATTTATATTCACATAATAAAAAATGTGGTCACTAGAGAAGTAATGAATATGTATAAAAAGAAAAAGCCTTGAATTCTTTATTATATCTTGGGGGGATCCAGGTAAAACATATCGGCACATCACGTCAAATACCGTTTTGGATTAGGTTTATTTTTTAAGCGACCCTTTTCCAAAAGGGATTACTGGAATTTCTGTTGTTTATCTATTTAAATATATTTTAACTGATTATAGAATTTATGATAGAAATTAATAAATTTAATATAATAATTGTCTTTAATTTTGGGGTTTATTTAATTTACGTAATTCTATATATTTCACAAATTCTTCTATTGAAAATGTTATTTAATCTCGTGTTTTCATCATGTGGGAAATGAAGTAATCCTTGTGAAATTAATTTAACTTTTTTTGTGCGAACCACATCACCACTTTATAAATGATTTCAAAATTTATTTTCGTAATAATTTTATTTTTTTATTTGATAAAGCATCAAGAACACCCAATAAAACAAAATCAGCTCCTCAAGATGTCTAAAAACAGGAAGGAATCATTGGAATGTTGCTTCTTTATTTACTGATAAAAATTGAAAACCTTCAATTATTTATGACATACGGATTTTATGTTTATAATCCATCAACAAAGAATATAGTGGAAAGCCGGAATATACTAGTAATAATTTACCAAGATTATCAGAATGGGATAATATATTTATTGTAGTTTCTATATTGAAAATTATTGGAATTGCATTAAGATTATGGTGTTATAAAACTCTTGATGAATTTTTTACTTTTGATGTTACTATTCAAAAGGATCATAAATTAATTACTCATGGTTCTTATAGATATTTAATTCATCCTTCGGTAAATATTTGATTATTATTTTATTATTCATTACTTTATTATTATTTACTGATTCATAAAATTATTTTTACACATTATTTTTATTATAGTATACCGGATATTTTCTTCTTTGGCCATGTCTATTTTACGTAGCCTCTCAACTTCCATCATTTATTAAATTATATGAATCATCATTATCACCAATAACTTATTCAATATTTTCATTCTCAATATTAATGTGTGTGTCATCCTTTATCAATCGTGTCTAAAATTTTAATTTATAAAATTGATCAATAAAATGATAAAAGAAGAAGCAATGCTGAAAGATCATTTTGGAAAAGAATGGAATAAATATGTTAAAACTAGATGGAGATTAATTCCCTATTTGATTGACTTTGACTTATTTTATTTTATTCTATTTATATATAATTGTCTATTTATAAAAAATAATATTTTATTATTATTTTATTACTTATTTTATTTACATTTACAATAAAATGATAATAATTGCCGTATATGTACATATTAAAACTATCCTGATATTCAACTATTTAATATCTATTTAAGCATAATAATAAGGATAGTTTGTTTTTATTGGCTGGTGATCAAAATCTCGTGATTGGCATGATCGATCAAATTTAGATCAAAAATTTAACGCGCGATTTGTTTTATCAAAATAAAAATAATCATATCTACTTTAAAAATCTCATTGATTATCCCAATATGGTTCGAAAAAATTTTGGTCCCTGTTCAATACAGAATTGTAACAGTCAAGGACCCAGTTTTCGCCAATTTACTCCATTAGCACATAAAAAAACTCAAGAAAATGGAAACTATAAATATTATACTTATTTGAGAATCGGACAACAACTGTGTCATACTCATTATATGCATATTGTTGAAGCTGACCATAATGAAAAGTTAAAATCACAAGGTAATATTATATGATCATAAAATTTTTATTTATATTTATATTATACAATAATTTATTTGACATTCTATTTTATAGAACCCAAAAAATTATTCATTTGTTGAACAAGTTACCATGCTTACAAAAGTTTTATATAAGCAACATGGTAATATAGACTTGGATCCAACCTGATTTCAACAAATGATCATAAAAGCTGATCCATGCTTACAAGGCTTTTTTGATAAATTAATGAAAGCACTTATTACAGATAGAAGATCCATGTACAATAAAATTGAAGCACAAAAGACCATTGTAACATTATGTTATATAATGGCAGGATTAAGAAACAAGTTTGCAAATGATCTTAAATTGGAGATTGGATTATATTTGTCATCTTCAGGTGCAACACATACTGCAATTGATACAATGAACAATATTGGACTTTCTGCATGTTTCATAACAGTTAATAATTTTAAACAAAAACTTGCAAATGAACATTCTTTAAAAACTAGAAATTTTTTTAAGGAACAGGTAATAGATATAAAATTATTTGGTTTTTTATTTTTTTTAATAAAATTTTATATTTATTAATTTAATTTCAATTAGTACAATTACTTGTATATTTATAATTTGGATAATTATCATGATATTCATGAAAAGCAAGACCTGATACTGTAACTTTATCAACAGCAAAACATATGGCAACTTGTGTTTGTAAACAAGTTAAAGTTTGTGCACCAATACCTATTATTTTCAACAATGAATCAGTTCATAATCTGGCAAATTTTGATGCAAGTAACATTTTTTTTGGTTAATACACAAATATCATGGAATATTTGATTTTCATATTAAAATCATAAAAACAATGACTTTCCAATAAATAATCTAGTATAGAGAACTTTGATCAAATAGAATTACTTATGGTTCATTGTTATGACAATGCAATTGCAGAAAGAAAAGAGGAATGCTCAATAAAGAAGTTTGATTGATTGGGTACAAGAAAAGAATCTTCATTCAATAAATAATTATATTAATGCATTTCATTTAATATTAGACATTGATAAGAATATTAGAATTTTACATAATAGAGTAGCACCATTAGTTGCAGATTGGCCTGGGCAGTTATTTGTTAGAAAAGCATTAACACATTTACATAAAACAAATTCCCAATATTCAATACCAGATGGAATCAATTCTTTATTCTAATTCTAGGTCCATTACATATTTCTCTCAATAGCAGAGAACATGTTATATTAATATATCACTTCTTCTTTGAAAAACTTTTTCATTTTGTTTTTGGATCAAGAAAAGTATTTGCAAAAAAACCAAAACCATAGAGAATCAACTTGCTTCTTGATTTGGCCTATAATGGATAGTGTAAAATTAGGGTTGTAAGTAATTTAAAATTTGAATGTACCTGTAAAGATACTGAATATTGTATGATAGTAGATTTATTGGATAATATTATACCTAGTACATTAGATATATATGCTACACTTTTTCATTCTGGTTCTTATGATAAATATATTGAATCTATTTTTCAAATTTGGACATTTACTTTACATTGGAAATGACACAACTACAATAAAGCTCCATTGACTTTTCTTTCTGATGTATTTTATTGGGAGGACATTAAACATCCTTTTGCAGAAGTAATAAAACTATTTTTAGTAAACTTTAATGATTACTTTGTTGAAAATATGCATAGCAAAAATACATATTCATACATCTACAAACAGTAGTACAGATAATATTATAAAACAAGCTTATTTAATTGGTATGCCAATTATTTTATTTATTTTTATTTATATAAAAATATTTTATAAATTTAATAATTTTACAGATGAACGAAATCATAATGAACTGAAAGATACATTTCAAAGATCAAATGAATATCCTTATAAACCATCATCATTAAAACTATTATCAGAAAAAACATCACTATTTTTATTAAACTATTTTTAAGAAATATATAAAAATCAAGGAAAAGGAACATTATATAAAAACAGAAAAAAAAGTTGAGTATAAATTAGCTACCTTAGGAGAAACTGTTGATTCAGATATCTTCCAACAGGATATAGTACCTGTAAATTCCCATCACAAGATACTTGTGATCATTGTAATAAAAATCTTAATAATGGTGAAGTATTAATGTGTGGTCATGGTTACCACTATGATTGTTATCAGATTCTTGAATATGGGTGTTGTTACTGTGAAGAATATTACAAGCACAGAGTTTATAGCAATGTAAAATCATTTTTAGAAAGGTTAGAAAAGGGTCCCAATATTCTTACTCCTGAAGAAAATGAAGGTGAAGAGGTTTTAGTTGAAGAGAATGAGGTAATAGAAGAGATAGAAATGAATAGAAGTCAAGAAGTACATAATAAATTTTTAGAGGTGCTTAAATGCATTAACACTTGGTAATATTGTATAATTATTTGAAAGGTTCAAAATTAATTAAAAAATTTAATAATAATATAATAATAATATAATAATAATAACATAATAATAATAAATAAATTAACATTACTTGTATTAGAGTAGTCTTTTTTAATATACTATTATAAAAATATCCTTCTAAGTAAACTTTCCCAAATATTGGATCTTATTGGATCTAAATAAAGGGAATGAAGAAATAGCTTCGAAGAATATAATTATAAAATTTCATCATTTATTAATTAGTCATTTTTGTGACTAGTCATATGCGTGACGATTTTTCAATTGAACCCTATTGTAAAACCAATATAAATATTTGTGTAACCCGATGATCAAAATCTAGACTTTCCCTATTTATTACTTCCGGAATATAATTAAATAAAGAAATAATTAAAATCAACAATCAATATGTATAATAGATTATCAATGGTTATTATAATCCACCATCCATTATGCACAGGGATCACCAAAGAAGAGTTCCCTGATCTTCTTCATATCTTCCAGTTAATCTCTTTAAATCTAAAACTAAATACATAACTATGTTATGTTATTTAAATTATATATTTAGTTAATTTTAGTCTTTTATTGTTAGGTAAACGCAGTAAAAACTTTAACAAGAAATGATTCATTTACTGAATCTTTCATTGGCTGAATCATTTTTTTAAATGTGTCCAGTCTATAACCGAAAATTTTAACTTTAAAATAAGGTTAATTTCAGTAACCGATAATTATGATAGATTTTGACTTGCACTTTCAGAATTATTGGTTTAAATTTTATAAAATTTATTTTTGATGGAGCTATTAACATTTAAAGTCAGGTGTATTACATATATAAAATATACAAAATAAATTTGAAAATATATAAAAATAGTAAAAAAGTTATTTTATTTTATTTAAAGGAATCTTTTAATTCATTATAAAATTCATCAGGTACTCTTTGATGTGGTTTATAGATCACATGCAATAAAATTTATTGCTCAAAAATCACGTGTAAGCCCACTAAAATATAAAAAATATGCCAAATCGTTTTCAGAACCCGGAAATAATACTTTTTTTAATATTTGATGAATATTTATTAGTAAATTTAAGGAATCATTATTGGTTTTAGGCTGGATGCGCTGTATCCTATTTTATTCATACACACATACACACTTTATACATTTTATCTTACGTTGTTATATTTTTGATTTTGATTTTTTTATTTTCTCTGAATTTTGTTTTATTGTTTTTGTTTTTCTTGTATTTGTATTTGTTATTATTTTCTTCTTTATTAGCTATTAGTATTATCTTATTGTCACCTTTTGATCCCTCTTCAATCCCGTTTTCTTAATATTTTTCTTATTCTTTATTAATTTCAAAATTTGATTTACTGAGATTTTCATTTGTTACGTTCACGCGTCACGTGCCAACATCACGTGTCACGAGTTTCGGAAATGCCTTTTTGCTTAGAAATGACCGCTTCTCTTAGAGACACCACTATATCAGAAGCAGTAATTATTTCGAATTGCCACCTCCTCCACAGTGACCTTGCTCTTTGAAAACCGGAATGTCTATAGAATAGAAATTTGCTTATTACTTTCTTTCTTTTTATTATATAATTAATTAGGTATTTATTTATGTATTCAGACTAATGTAGGAAAACATATATAAGGATCTTTCCTGTAATTAACCATGAAAAATTAACAAGTAATAACACTGATGGTAATAATCATGTTCTTTAATGATTAGTGATAAACTATAATGTTAAATAAATCATTATGATAAATAAACCACTTTCCTTAATACACTTTTATTAATAAATCTTATGACTAATGTTTTTGAGAGCATTTTATCACGTGATAAACCCGATAAAACATTATTTTCCTTTCATTCTATAATTATCTTCTAGCGAAACTTTTTATCCTTATACCTTACATCCTTTAGCATCATATTTAACATCATCTTTTTCCCTACCCATAGAACCTTTAAAACTATTTTATAGTTAATCCTATCTTCCTTTTCATCCTTTTAGTCCCAGAATTGTTATAATTCATAATATCCCCTAAAAATCGTTTATAATTAAGTTAGTAATATGTATTCATCCACCTTCCAACCCAGATAACTACCAAGCTAAACCCAAACACTTTGTTGTATTTGCCTCCGCTCTCCCTACAGGTATTATCAACGTATGATAAAATGAAATGATTTCAAAATTTATATCCATAACAATTTTATTTTATTATTTGGAAAAAGTATCAGCACCAACCAATTTACTGAGAAAAATTGGAAGTTAAAATATTTATAAAATATCAGAAATTATTGGAATAACATTAAAATTATGGTGTTATAAAACTCTTGATGAATTTTTTACTTTTGATCTTACTATTCAAAAGGATCATAAATTAATTATTCATGGTCCTTACAGATATTTTATCCACCCCTTGGTAAATATTTGATTATTATTTTACTTTCTTTATTATTATTATTATTATTTACATTATTTTTACATATAGTACGCCGCAATGTTATTTCTTTGGCCATATGTAATTTACCTTACCGTTTAGTTTGCACCGTTTATTAAATTATGTGAATCATTATTATCACCAATAACTTATTCAATATTATCATTCTCAATATCAATGTGTCATCCATCATCAATTGTGTTTAAATTCTAGTTATGTTAATGATTTTAAATAGAATGAGATGGCTATTTGGGTTGACTAAATTTGATTTGTTGATTTATTCTATTTATGTTCACATAATAAGTAATGAATATATATAAAAAGAAAATGATGTTCCCAAATCTTTATTATATTATAGGCAAGGTAAAAACATATCGGTATGTCAAATACCGTTTTGGATTTATTTTTTAAGCGATCCTTTTCCAAAAAGGATTACTCGTCTATATATATTTTTGACCAGAGACTATCGCATCGTATACTATTTAAATTTAAAAATATATCTATATTTTATTGATTTGGAGTTATCATAATTTATTATAGAATTTACTTGTTTTATAATTTCTTGTTTTGTTTAAGTAATTCTTAATAGTTTTGCTGATTCCATGTCTATATTCATAAATCCCTCTATTGAAAATGTCATTTAATCTTGTGTATTCACTAACATTTGTTCTTCAACTTTATTACAGATGGGTCAAATAATTCCCATAATGGTGACAGACCGACTTAAAGTTTGACTGGTAGCAAACATAGGGTGGAAATTGTTTTTGTTGTGTCCTCCAAACAGAGATATTCCGGAACAACGATAGCACAAATATTACTAATTTAGTTCAATAAAAATAACAATTTCAGCTTTAATCATATCAAATTTTATTCCCACACACTTGATAAAATAAAATGGCTTCAAAATTTGTTTTCGAAATAATTTTATTTTATTTAATGGCAAAAGTATCAAAGCCACCCAATAAAATAAAATCAACTCCTCAAGATGTCTACAAACGAGAAGGAATCATTGGAATGGTTATGTATTTTTTGAGAGTGGCTGGAGTATTTCAGTTATCGTTATATATGATATACGGATTTTATGTTTATCTAATTTATCAACAAGAGTATAGTGGAAAGTCGGAATATACTAATAATGATTTACCAATATTATCAGAATGGGATAATACATTTATTATAGTTTCTATAATGAAAATTATTGGAATGGCATTAAGATTATGGTGTTATAAAACTCTTGGTGAATTTTTTACTTTGGATCTAACTATTCAAAAGGATCATAAATTAATTACCCATGGTCCTTATAGATATTTAATTCATCCTTCGGTAAATATTTGATTATTATTATTACTTTATTATTATTTACTGATTCATAATATTATTTTTACATTATTATTTACATTATTTTTATTTACATTATTTTTATTTATAGTATGTCGCACTGTTATTTCTTTGGCCATATATAATTCACATAGCCTCTCAATTTGCACCATTTGTTAAATTATATGAATCATCATTATCACCAATGATTTATTCAATATTTTCATTCTTACTATTAATGTGTCATCCATCATCAACTGCATTTAAATTTTTAACTACGTTGACAATTATAACAATGACCAATAGAATAATAAAAGAAGAAGCAATGCTGAAAGATCATTTTGGAAAAGAATGGGATGAATATCATAAGACTAGATGGAGATTAATTCCCTATTTGATTTGACTTAATTTAATTTTATTATAATTGTGTTCTATTTATATTTATCTATTTTATAAAAATAAATATTTTATTATTCTTTTGTTATTTGTTTTATATACACTTTAGATTTACAATCAAATGATAATAATAACTGCCGTATATGTACATTCAAACTATTTTAATCAATTAATATCTATTTTATATGTAATTAAATAAATTATCATCTTTCTTATCAAAGAAATAATTAAAATCAAAAATCAATATGTATAATAGTAATTATCAATAATTATTATAATCAACCATCATGTACAGTGATCACCAAAGAAGAGCTTCCTGATCTTCTTCATATCTTCCAGTTAATCTCTTCAAATCTGCATCTTTAGGTAAAATTCCTAAACATGCTGCTATCACCCATGATCCACCAAATAATACAAATAACCACATACAAATTAAATTGGCCAACCGAATTTTACAAGCTGTATACAAATAAGAAGGTTTATAATCAAATGTATCAGGTGAAGGACAATTGGCGGGAATTCCATTCATTTCATTAACTTTTAAACCAGTGTAAAAAACTATATTATTAATAACAATTGTACAGTATACATAAATATTAATATTTTTTTGATATATCTTTTTTTTTTTTGAATTATTTAATTAACAATAAAATGCTTACCAGCAATAATTATCCAAACAAAGAGTACAGGACTATAAAAAATCATCATTAAATTAAATAAAGGTTATTACTAACTTATTATCAAGTTAATTATCAAAGTTATTTGTCAAGTTATTATTAAATTAAACAAAAATAAATTACAATAATTCTTCTTTCAATGTTTCAGCTAAAACTTTTGGTCTACAACAATTACAAATGGCTGACATAAATAAACTAACTACAATAAAAAAATTATTATAAACATTAAAATTATTATTTATTTATTTTTTTTTTAAAAAAAATAAATCGAATCTATTAAATAACTTACACGGTATCGAGATTGAAACCACCAAATAACTAAATTTCATAATTAATTCAATTAATTATATTAAAATATTTATATTTAATGATGAAAAAATAAAATAAATTAAACTCACCAATATTCGATAATAACATTTGCAAGTGATAATTCATTAGGAATTTGATTAAAGTAATGAAATCTGATAATTTCTATTTTAATATAATAGAAAATTATAATTAATAAATAAATTTTTAATTTTAATAATAAAAAATTGGAATTTATTATTCATACCAAGAACTGGGCAAAGAAATATTAATATGATTAAAGGAACCCCCAACGAACTTGCAATAATATATTTCAGTCTTTTGCTAACCATATTTTATTCTTTATTTTTTTTTTGAATTTTTTATTCTTTAAATTTTTACACTTTAATTTTATCAATTTTTTACTCAATTTTTATTTATTTATAAATTCTTAATTGACATATTTTGATTATAATATTTGTATCGATAGAATAGAGTTAATGATTAATATTATTATTATTGACAGGTTTCACGAATTCAAGAATTAAAGATTAAAAAAAAAATGAAAACGTATATTGATATAATGAATAAAAAAGTGGAAAAAAAATAATAGGCACGACGATGATATTTTTTAAAAAAAAGCCCCCAGTTAGTTAACATCTAATCTGATACGGTTAATAAATTTTACCGATGATAATATCAAAACGGGAAATAATTAAGATAATGGCTTTGCCCTTAATTTTATCTTTTTTTATCTTTCGTTCCTAAGCCATTATATATTATGTATTTTAATATATTATACAATTTATTGATATCTTTATAAATATTTGAATGCACTTTCCTTGAATAAGCCAAGAATGTTGATTGATAACTAAATAGTAAAAATTTTTCATGCAAAAATACATGTCATAAAGTTTATTTTTTTTTGTATTGTAGTAAGAGATTACGTTCATGAATTCATTGATCATAATACGTGAAAAATCTTTTCTACACCATTTATCCAATTCCCAAATTCTAATTAGTTGAGATAATTTCTGTGATTTTTTTTTTCTCGTTTCCTCATTTTTGAAGACTTCCATTTTCATAATTCATACACAACATGCTAACATGCTGTAAGCTTCCCTTGGGTTTTCTGTGTTATCATATAACTTTCCTCTTTTTTATTTTTTCTTAATTGGAGAATGAGACAATTTAACCGATCTGGTAATTATTTCAATGAATTCCTTTGCGAATTTCTCTAGATACCCGTTAAGGTTCTATTAGAATATTGGACCGAAGCCCCATCTCCTGGGCTTAAGGGATTTTCTGAAATATCCTCAGAAGTCTACACTTATTCTTTTTTTTTAAAAAAAAAAGTGCATTCACCATATAAATCGGATCTTGAACGCATTGTGGATGCTAAACCCAAATACATGAAAAAGCCAAAGAAGTTTAAGGAAAATGGAGGTATGTGCTTAAGGGAATCATCGGACACACCGTCAGCTACTATTATGAGTTTTTCTTGTAATGGGAAAGGTTTTGGCTCCGCTGGCGACAGTATTTGTGTTAAAGTAATGTTACCACATTGTCGGCTCTGTTATGGGACAAATTTAAATAAAATTTGAGAATCGAAAGCGCTCCGTGGACACCATTTTTGATGAACGTTCTTCTCATTTTTATTTAAATGTCTCTAATGGGACACGCAGTCAGCTACTGTGCAGCGAGAGATCTTTGAAGCAAGAAATCATGAAAATATAAAGAACCAAAAAAGTATGAAGTTAAAATGACAATGAAGTTTCACGGGGTAATTAATACACATTTATTACAATCAAAGCAAGGATGGATTAGTGATGCTGGCTATAGTAATAGTAACACATATATGAAATTTTGTTATAATTGCAAAATAGAATCCATATAGAAGTCACATGAAATATGTATAGACATACCATGTAACAAATGCAAAAATTATTGTAGTAAAAAAATAAATTTTATTTTATACAAATTAATCATAAATTAGTGTTGTAGTTATTATTTTTAATTAACTGATCTTACACTAAAAAACCGAGTAAATTAGCAATCTTAAATATTTCTTACTCTATAATAGAAAATCTTTTTTTTTTAATAGGTTTTTCATAATAATAAATATAATCACCACGAATACACCAACATTTATCCCGAGTAAAATCAGAACTATCGGATCCCAATATAAATTCGCAATTACTAAAAGGTGGGCCACAAGTATTTTGATCACTAAATAACGCAGAGCTTCACTTTTAACTTTAACTCTACTAAAATTTGAATTTAAGTAAATTTAGTTTTTTGAATTATCCAAAACTAAAGGGTTGTGATTCCCAAATAATTCTTCAGTTCCATTAAACATATTCAAAATGTTTTGAAACGAAAACCATCTTTATTTCCTCGAAGAATTATTCTTCACCAAATGTCCCCATATGAATTTCAATTAAATAGTTAAATTGCGATTCATCCATTATGATATTTCTGCTGATGGATCATTTACTCTTGAAAGCAATTCTGGAGTTGAAATAATTCTTGCTGGTAAAACGAAAGATTTAACTGGTTGATTCGTGAACGTTTAATTAAATCATCCAAAGCTGCATTCCAAGAATTTTTTTATAGGACTTTAATTTTTCCCAAATATCTTTTTTGGAAATATGAAATATCGAATAAGAGGTAAAACATTGTTGTAGAGCTATTTTTAAAGTCTTGAAATTCTCTTTAGACCATTCTTCCAGAATTATAGGCAAAAGTAGGATTTTGAAATTTGATAATCGAATCCCAAATTTTAACTTCTATTTGCAGGTCATCCTTTTCTAAAATAAAACTAACGCTGTTTCTTGGAGTGAAATGAAATCTTCTTATTCAAAAGTTAAATTCGGATGCTTTGTAATAATGTTATTATAAAATTGTTTCAAACCTTTGAAATTATTACTATCAAAGATTAAATGACAAACAAGGGAGAAATGAGTTTTAACTAAAAAGATTTAGATTAGACAAAGTAACTTTCTCATTTTTCCGATAGCACTTCGTTAGCAGCTATCATTAATTTATAAATAATTTTGGTTTCTACGTTTTCGCCGCCATTCATTAAATTATGTGATAAAATTTATATATTAAAATATATATAAATATAATAAACGTAATAATATATATATATATATATTAATTTTAAGTAAATACTTATATAACTACTTTAATGTTTAAATTAATACACTTACTTAAGAATGATTTCGAATATTTAGACAGAAGTATTTGGCTCGATAATAGTTTTGACCTGATTTTCATTCATAGCCAACTCTTTAGTGAAGTGGGATGAACGATAACGTAAGAAAGCCGAGTGTGAAAGTAATAGATTTCTTATTTTCTTCTCTATCAACTTCGATGACAGCATTGTGTTCTTTTTTTGCCATTAAGAAGTTCAGGAAAATTCAGATAATTTGTCAAAGAAATTTAAAGGACATTTTATTACTATTATTAAGTTGAACTTCAATAGTAGATTCCTTTTTTTTATCAAGCACTCTCTAAAATATCTTAAATTTGGATCGGGGAGCAATATTTTATTTCTTTAAACAGATCTTTCCAATAATCTCTTTCTTTGACAATTTTTATTAAATTTATTAAATTGAAATTTGATCTTTTTTTTTGTATAAATTAGTTATGTAACTTTATCAACAAATTTCAGTATTTTTAATTGCAATAAAATTAATTAGATGTACAAACTCTTAAATGGTTAAATATAATTATCACTTCTTTCATATCAATAAACAAAGTCCAGAATTAATATGTCTGTGATTTATTGCTATTCTTAACATTAAAATATTCATTTTTTCATTATTTCAACATATTTGAGAGATAGTGAATTATATGTAAAAAACTTTTTAAAGAAATAAAATTCACAACATAAAATTTCATTCAAGTAATTATATTTAAATAATTTTAATTAATTGCGAATAAAGTGAGTATATAGATTTCATGAAACGAATAAAGTATCTTGATCACGTAAATATATTTCCCAACATTAGCGATTTTCATTTCCAACTCTTTAATGAAGTGGGCTGAACGATAACGTAAGAACCCGAGTGCGAAGTAAAAGATTTCTTATTCTTCTTTATCAACTTCAGAGACAACATTGTATTCTTTTTTGTCATTAAGAAGTTCTGAAAAATCTTGAGATAATTTGTCAAAAATTTGAAGGACATTTTTATTACTTTCATTAAGTTGAATATTTAAGATTTAATTAATATTGCATTCCTTACCTTAAATAACAATAATAATTTTATTCACTTTTTATTTAAGTATTTGAATGCGCTCTAATATTTGTTTTATTTTGAATCATCTTAATAAAACATGTATTTAATTAAAATAATGGTTTATTCCGTATCATCAATCAAAAATACATTTATTTATTAGGATACTGTATGACATCATAAAACAGATTTTATTACCATTGAAATGAAAAAGATAATTGTACATTTGGAATTTGAAATTATTCTTTTTTAACAATCTTAAATACTTCATACTCTACAATAGAAAATGTTTCATCAGTTGTTCTAATAGGTTTTTCATAATAATAATAATAACCACCACCACGAAGACACTGACAATATTTATTCCGAGTAAAATCAGAAACTTCTGATTTCAAAGAAAATTCACAATTACCAAAACGTGGACCATAAGTATTTTGATCACTATGATAAATTAGAGCTCTGCTTTCATTTTTAACTCTGCTGAGAATTGAATTTTGAATATTACCATTTTTCAATGAAAATATAAAGCTATCATCTGCTTTTATATAATTATCAATAGCTTTTAAATTATCCCAAGCCAAAGGATTGTAACCTCCAAGTATTTCGTCAGTTCCAGTAACTTTTGCGATCACTATTGTACCAGCATGTCCATTACACATATTCCAAAATGTTTTTGGATGAAAACCATCTTTGCTTCCTCGAAGAATTAATTGAAAGTCATATGGGATATTTGTTAAAGAATAAATATTTGATTTGCAATCAATCCATGATGATATTTCTGCTGCATGTTCTTCATTAATTATAGTTGAAAATGGGTCATTTACTCTTGGAGGCAATTCGGAAGTTGAAATAATCCTTGCTGGTAAAACAAGGGATTTAATAGGTTGATTTGGAAACATGGAATGATGAATTAAATCATCCAAAAGTTGCATTCCAAGAATTTTTCTATAAGGCTTTAATTTTTCCCAAATATCTTTCTCAGGGATATGAAAATATCGAATAAGAGGTAAACATTGTTGTAGGGTTATTTTCAAAGTCTTGAAATTCTCTTTGGACCATTCTTCCAATTTTATAGACAAAGTAGGATTTTGAGCAATTCCCCATTTGATAATGTAATCCCAAATTTTAATTTCTTCCATTTGCAGGTTATCCTTTTCTAAAATAGAAACTAATGCTGTTTCTTGGAGTGAAGTGAAATTTTCTGACTCAAAAATTAAATTTGGATGCTTTGCAATAATGTTATTATAAAATTGTTTCAAATCTTTGAAATTATTACTACCAAATATTGAATGATAAACAAGGGAGAAATGAGTTCTTAACCAAGAAGATTTAGATTCGATAAGGTAACTTTCCAATTTTTCCGATAGCTCTTCAAATTCAAATTCGTTAGCAACTATCATTAATTCATAAATGATTTTTGTTTCTATATTTTCAACGTTAATAACTCCGCCATAGATGTATCTATATTAATAAAATATATACAATAAAATATATATGTAATAAAAGATATTTTAATAAATTAATTCCGAGCAAATATTAGATCATATTATAACTTTAATGTTAACTTACTTAAGAATAATTTCGAATATTTGACCAGAAATATTTGGTTTGATAATGGTTTTGACCTGATTTTCATTCGTAGCAGTGTTTTCTAACTCTTTAGTGAAGTAGGTTGAACGATAACGTAAGACAACCGAGTGCGAAGTAAAAGATTTCTTATTTTCTTCTTTATCAACTTCAATGACAACATTGTATTCTTTCTTGTCATTAAGAAGTTCTGAAAAATCTTGAGATAATTTGTCAAAAAATTTGAAAGACATTTTATTGCTATTATTATTAAGTTGGATATTTAGAACTCCAATGCTGCCAAGTCGGAGTTTTATGAAAAAAAAATTCTGAACACGAAATGCAAGCATCGAATTTTTTCCTTAATTAGTCAATAATTTTAGTTCCTTTTTTATTAAGCACTACGCTCTGCTAATTATATTATGGTCTGTATTTATTATGGTCTGTATTGACTAATGACTAGTTTATTTATATATTATATCTTGAAGATTGGATTTGAAAAAAGATCTTTCAAGTAATCTCTTTCATCTTTATTTGAAGGAATAGAAAGAAAAAAGATTTTTCAATTAACTTCAAACATGTTTTCCAAAAATCTTAAGGTAAAGCAATATAAATGGAAAACGAATGAAATTTTAGATAAAAGATAATAAATGAGAAGGGAAAAATTTTTAAAAAAAAAACTTGCTAGGCAACTGAACTTGAAAATTAAAATAATAAATTTTTTTTTTATTATTGAAAATTTTAATTAAATGAAATTACAGCAATTTTTTTTTTTTGTAAGGTTCTTTATGTAACTTTATCGATAAATTTTCTAATACTTTCAATAAATCATTCAATACTTTTAATTGCAATAATAAAATTAATTAGAAGTCCACTTCTCTCATATCAATTACTATTCTTAACATTAACATACTGTGGGGATAGCAATATTTAAATTCATTTTTTCATTATTTCAACATATTTCGAGAGATAGTGAAATATATGTAAATTTTTTTTAAAATGCCCTTACCTTTTGTTTATAAATTTTTTATCCAAGTAATTATAATTAAATAATAATTGAAAATAAAGTGAAAAAAAAAAAATGTATAGATTTCATGAAACGAATAAAGTATCTTGTTCACGTAAATATAATCCAACATCAGCTTGATTAAAAGCAACAATGTTGGTAGATTGTAATTTGCGTGTGTCAGCTGTAGAATGTGCGGTAACACCAAATCCCTACAAACAAAAAACCATTTTTAAATTTAAAAACATTTCAAAATATTTTTTAAAATATTTAAAATTTAAGAAATATAAAATCTAATTAATTACCAAAGGCACATCCGACATTGAATATATTACAACACCTTTATTTTGAGGAGTATCATCAGTTATACGACCAAGATGTGCTTTTAATACATGATTGCCATATAAAAATGATCCTTCACCATTGGGTTTTATCCATATTTTATACTAATCAAAGATATTAATTATATTAATTATTATTATGTTTAAAGATTTGACGAATTAAAATTAAAAATTTACCACAGCATATTGAGCAAGATAATCCAAAGCAGTTATGTGAAGTTTAAATTTTTTTGATTTTGTAAATTTTCCAAAACTCGTACCCACGGAAATTAATTGATTACGACTTATATTCGTTGCTTGACGCATCATTGATTCACTTTGTAAAATTATTATTATTATTATTTTAGAATTATTTATTATTTATATATTCTCTCCCGAAATTCCATATATTTCATATTTTCTACATATTCTATATATTCTCGAATCAAATACCTCATATAATATACTTTATCCTTATGTAACCTAAAAAAATATGTTTCATCTGATCGATCGATAAGGTGCACCACATTTTTTCCAATACTTAATGTCGAAGTGGAAATGGAAATGGAAAGGAAAAAATAAAAAATAAAAAAGAAATGTGGGAACATTTTAACAAATTAATTTCGAGTAATAGTTATATTGTATTGATTTATAATAGTTATAATAGTTAGGAACTTACTATTTCGTTAATTTTTCAAAAAATATCTTTGTCTCGTCTTCAGTTAAAGGTCTCATGATGATAATTTTATTTTTGGTTGATTGATAAAAAAAAATTTGGTTTTATTATTATTGGTCGAAAATATTGCCGGGTTCCTTTTATGAATTTAGGTAGAATCTACTGCTTCACGAATTCATAATTTCTGTTATTTCTCTTATTTCTCCTTTCACATTAAAAAATCTTTTGGTAAGAATAAAATGTAATTGAATTAATTGGTCATCGAAATTTTATTATTTTATATTTTTAACGCTCGCCATAACATTATTTTTATTTATTTTTTTTTTTAGCATAATATTTATAGTAATGTCCGCCTCTCTACAAAAGTTTTTCGGAAAAAAGCCAACCCAAGAAGAAATGGTATTACGCGCGTTTCATTAAGCTTATTAATTGCTTCTTCTTTTTTTTTGTTATACAATATTTCGAGCAACTAATACCATCTTTTATTTTATTTTTTTTTTAAGGTAAGAAAATGGCAAAGAGACATTCGGACTGAAGTACGATCGTTAGACCGGACAATATCCGCTTCTGAAAATGCGGAGAAAACAGCGATAAAAGAATTAAAAAAAGCCGCATCAAAAAATGACATAAGCAGTTGTAAAACATTTGCTAATAGTTTGGTGGGGATAAGGAAACAAATACAAAAATTACATACAGCAAAAGCGCAATTGAATTCTATTAATTTACAACTTCAACAACAATCATGTAAGAGAATTATATTTGGGAATAAAAATATTGAAATTATTCAAACTTTATTATTTACAAATTCATTCATATTCATTCATTCATTTATTCATCCATTCATTCATTTATTCATTCATTCATTCATTTATTCATTCATTCATTCATTCATTCATTCATTCATTCATTTATTCATTCATTCATTCATTTATTCATTCATTCATTCATTTATTCATTCATTCATTCATTTATTTATTATTAAAAAAAAAAAAAAAAAATCAGCTACTCTAAAGGTTATGGGAACTTTGAAAAAAAGTACAGAAGTGATGAAGATGGTTAATGGAATAACAAAATTAGAAATAGTATCAAAAAGTATGCAAGAATTATCAATGGAGATGACAAAGGTATGATATAAAAAAATATATATAATTTGTAATTTGTGAAAATTTGTTGGAAAAGATTTGGGGTAAAAAAAATTTAGAATTGAATTTAGGCTGGTATTCTTGATGAAATGATTCAAGATACATTCGAAAATTTGGAAGAAGATAATATTGAAGAAGCAGCGGATGAAGAAGTTAACAAAGTTCTTCTGGAAATTACCAATGGTTTGAAATTTTTATTTAATAATTTCTCTCTTTTTCTATTTTTCAAAATTATTTATCATTTAACTGACATATTATTATTATAACAATATTTGAAGGTATCCTTGGAGAAGCTGGTGCAGTTGGAGCACCACTTGAGGTAATTGATCATTTTCTCTATTTATGGTTCTAAATGATTTGATTTCTATTTATTGTTTTTTTATGTATGTTGTTTATCAAACCAAATTAAATTATTTACCAAATATTCAAATTATTTACAAATTCAGCCTGTCCAAGTGGAAGAAGAAGAAGAAGAACCGGAAATAAATGAAATGCAAGCCAGATTACAAGCATTAAAGACTTAGTTTTGAAACTAAATTCTGACTGCATGAGAAATTAAAATTAGTATTATGAAATTGTCATTAATTAAAATTAATTATAACAATCAATTACAACAATTAAATACAATTAAATAGAATTCAATTAAAATACAATATTGAATTAGGATTGAAGAAATAAAGTAAGTATATAAAATATAGTAGATTAGAATGAATTAAAAGATTATTGCTTATAAGAGGAGAGGATGGCATCATTTTTATCTATCATTCTTTTGATTTTTTTTGCCATTTTGTTTCTCAGGATCTTTTTTTTTTTAATTTCAGAAAAGAAAGTAGGATATTTTTGAATTTCTGTATATCAAACAATTATAGATTTTATTTTTATTTTGAATTTATTTGGTTTTTATTGGATTTCAAAATATATTATATAAAAATATAAAATGAATTAAATGAATTTCAATTTGTTGTCATGTGATCTAAATCTTTATTCAATTCGAGTATTTAAAATGCGTAAAAAAAATTTTTTTATCTGATAACTTTATAAATGCCACGACATTCTCGTTCAAGGAGCAGATCTCGTTCTCCTCTTAAGAGAAGAAAGCATTCTCATAGGCATGACAGGAATCGGAGTCGAGAACGTCAGAAAGATTCCGGTGTTGAAAAAACTGGTGATAGATCTGTCGAAAAGTCTAGAGATAGAAGTCGTAGTAGAGAGAGGGATAGAGAAAGAAGAAGGGACAAAGATCGACATAAGGAGGACAGAGAATATAAAAGATCAAGACATTCAAGGACTGAAGTTGAAAAGGAAGTGAAAACAACTAAAGTCACTTCTGAGAGTCCTAAAGAAGTGAAAACAACCAAAGTCACTTCAGAGAGTCCCAAGGATGCGGAATCACAACCAAATGCAGGTGAAAATAAGGTATTTATAACGACGGAAATGATTATAAATATTTATTACAAACGCGTACATATAATAAGCATTGATGTACAAACAAAATTCAGTTGATAACTATCGAATATATATATATTTTTTTTTTCAATTAGCCTTCTTCTGATTCTACAGCTGCCACTGTTGCAGCTCTACTTGATCAAGAAGAAAAAATTCGGCAGAGGCGTGAACGAGTTGAACAATGGAGAAGAGAAAGGGAGGCGAATAAAGCAGCGGAAGAAGCTGCTAAAATTGCTTCAGAAGCCGAAGTTTGTGAACCTTCAATAATGGAAGAAGATGAACAACAAAATAATATAAACAATAAAACTTGGACTCTGGATGACGATGACGAAGATGACTCAATGGAAGTTGATAAAGTTATTGATAATAATATGGGTAAATTTTTATAAAAATCACATCACTTAACAAAAATTAATATTAATAATGTCATCATCACTACAGAATCAGTAGATTTATTACCAATACCGAAACCTGTCGATAAAGTCGATTCGTTAATTTCTCAAGTAAGAAGAAACCCATTGCTTGCACTTGGTAGTAAAAAAGCGAATAATAAGAGCAGAGGAAAAGAGAAAGAGACAAAGGAGGCAAAAGAGGGTAATTTTGAAGAAGAAAAATTTATGTCAACTTCAAATAATTTAGTTCATGAAAACACGAATAATCAAATGCAAGATAATACTGTAGAAGAAGAAGAAGACCCACTCGATTCCTTTATGAAAGATGTAGAAGTTGAGGTTGAACAGTTAAACGAACTAGATAAAAAGAGAGCAAAACAAGTGTCAAAAGGGAAAACCCGACTCGAAAGATTGGAATCTATAACCAATGAAGATGATGATATCGAAACGGAAGAAGTTATTAGCGATCCAGAAGATATACTTGCGTAAGTTAAAAATAGAAACTATTTTTCCATTTTATTATTTTATTATTTTATTATTTTCTTTATTTTTCTCTATTTTCTTTTTTTTTTTTTTTTTTTATTTTCTTTTACTCGATTTAAAACATATTTATTGTTAATTTAAATTATATAAATTATATAGACTTGCAGCTAAAAAGCTAAAGAAAAAAGATTTGGCAGCCGTTGATCATAATCAAGTAATATATGAGCCTTTCCGTAAGAATTTTTACATTGAACCTCCAGAAATGTACGATCTAACTCCTGATCAAGTAGATCTTATAAGGGTAGAATTAGGTGGAATCAAAATAAGAGGAATTGATTGTCCTAAACCAATTCAAAAATGGACTCACGCTGGATTACCTGCTGCCTGGTAAGTAATATACTTTAATATTTGAATATATTTATATATATATAAAAGATATTTCTTTTATAATAAACCAATTAATAATAATCATTAATTCATCCGAGATTTAGTTTACACATAATAAAAAAATTAAATTTCGAAAAACCAACTCCTATTCAATCTCAAGCAATACCTGCTATAATGGCTGGTCGAGATGTTATAGGAGTTGCGAAAACTGGAAGTGGAAAAACTATAGCTTTTTTACTCCCAATGTTTCGTCATATCAAAGATCAACGTCCTTTAGAACAAATGGAAGGACCTGTAGCTATAATCATGACTCCTACCAGAGAATTAGCTGTGCAAATTCATAAAGAGTGTAAACATTTTTTAAAAGGATTAAATCTTAGGGTAATGTCTAAATAATGTTGGATCATGCTAAATAATGTTAAATAATAATAATTAATGATTTTTATTTTTATTTTTATTTTTTTTCCTTTTTTATTTATTCATTCATTCATTTATTTATTTATTTATTTTTTTGATTTCAGCCATAGATATTATAATTAATTATTTATTTCTATTATTTATTATTTTTTGATTATAAAATAGGCCGTTTGTGCATATGGAGGTTCGCCAATAAAGGATCAAATTGCAGAATTAAAACGTGGGGCTGAAATTATAGTCTGTACTCCAGGGCGTATGATTGATTTGTTATGTGCAAATTCTGGACGAGTAACAAACCTGAAAAGAGTTACTTATCTTGTTTTAGACGAAGCAGATCGTATGTTTGATATGGGCTTTGAACCTCAGGTAGTTATTTAGTAATTACATTAGTATCTTCATTCCTGTAAAGACTTTAAAGAGAATTTCTTTATTTATGTTTCTATTTATTTATTTATTAATTTTAAAATAGGTGATGAAAATTGTTAATAATGTTCGACCCGATCGTCAAACAGTATTGTTTTCTGCTACATTTCCGCGTCAGGTAAAGAATACTTTTTATTATTTGACAAATTCATGACCACACATATATTATATATTTACCGTTATATTTCGGTATATTTAATAGATGGAATCGCTGGCTCGTAAGGTTCTTAAAAAACCACTTGAAATTACCGTTGGTGGACGTTCGGTTGTTGCGCAAGACGTAAATCAAATAGTCGAAGTTCGCGAAGAAAATACTAAGTTTGTTCGATTGCTTGAAATTTTGGGTCAACAATATAATGACGACCCAGAAGCTCGAACTCTCATATTTGTCGATCGTCAAGAAGCAGCGGATAATTTATTGCGAGATCTGATTCGTAAAGGTTACCCCTGCATGTCTTTACACGGTGGAAAGGTAACTTATAAAATTTTTTTTATTTTTATTTTTCACACGGTTTACTAATTTGACTTCTTTATTTATAGGATCAATTGGATCGTGACAGTACTATCAGCGATTTCAAATCAGGAGTTTGTCAATTGTTAATTGCAACTTCTGTTGCTGCACGTGGCCTTGATGTAAAACAGCTTAAGCTTGTTATTAATTTCGAATGCCCAAATCATATGGAAGATTATGTTCATCGCGTGGGTCGAACAGGTCGCGCAGGTAATAAAGGTACTGCTTATACATTTATTACTCCGGAACAAGATAGATATGCCATGGATATTGTTAAAGCCTTAAAATTAAGTGGTGTTAATGTTGTTCCAGAGTTGCAACATTTGGCTGAAGGTAAGCTTTTAAACATAAATTTCATTGTAAAATTAATATTTATAAAATATATATTTATATTATTTATTTTATTCATTTATTTTAGATTTCCAAGAAAAGGTCAAATTGGGGAATGCAACATATTCAGGTTCAGGCTTCGGTGGAAAAGGTCTCGAGAGGTTAGATGAAGCGCGAGACCTTGTTAAAAAAGCTCAAAGAAAGGTAATATTCTTTCTTCGTTTGTAAGGGGGGGGGTTCTAATTATATTTGCTAATCTACATTTTTGTAATTTACATTTTGTATACATGCACAGACATATGGTGATGCTGATGATGTTACTTCAGAGGAAGAAATAGAGGAAGAAGAACTCCCAATTCAACAGCCAAAGAAAGAAGAGGCAATTAATGTCAATGTTCAGCCTATTACAAAAGCAACAATTATGTCTAATGTCTCTACGGCTGATCCTGCCGCAGTTGCTGGTAAGAAAAAAAAATTTTTTTTTTCACTTCAAATAATTCAATAATAGTAATCAATAATAATTGTTTTTTTTTGTACAATTATATAGCTCTTAAAGCAGCACAAGAAGCTGCAGCCCGTGTCAATGCCAAAAATGTTGGAACCAGCGGTGTTCAAAGAGCGAAAGATATCATTGCTGATATCAATGCTCGATTTAAGGAAAATTCAGTTCAAGGCACTGCATCTGAGGCCGATAAATCAGAAAATGCAGCAGAATATTCTGTTGAAATTGAAATCAATGATTATCCACAAAAGGCCCGATGGAAGGTCACTAATAAGGTATGTTATGTTTATTATTAATCATTTTATAAAATTTTTGTTAACAATTAAAAAAAAAACCTATCTTAATCTTTAATCTCTGAAATAAATTATTTATTTATTTATTTATTTATTTATTTTATTTTTTTATTATTCATTATTTTTCGTATAGGAACAAATTTCCCAAATTACGGAACTTACAGGTGCTGCAATTACAACACGTGGAACATACTTTCCTCCTGGTCGTCAACCAGCACCTGGATCAGGTGAAAGGAAACTTTATTTATTTGTTGAAGGTGAAAATGAATACGTGGTAGAAAAAGCCAAGAATGAGATAAAACGTATATTAACCGAAACCACATTAAGTGCTATTGAAGCCGAGGCACGAAATCCGGGAAGCACTTCGCTGGGGGGATATGGCAAGTATACGGTTGTTTAAAAATAGGTGGACTTTTGGGTTTTGTTATTATAGTTATCGGTATTATTCCTTTTTTCCTTTCTCTTCTCTTTTTTTTTTTGCTTTATTACTATAATTGGATTAGACGAATTTCACGAAGATTCTTTTGCAGTTTAATAATAAAGGTGGTAGAATTTTTTATTTTTCATTTTCATTACACTTTTTTTTTTATATATCTGGGTTTACCAGTTGACAAATTTTTTTTTATAAATTTGTTAAGCACGTAATGTTTTCTTCGAACAAACCGTTATTACTTTTCAGGTTAGCAATTGAATGACCCACGTTAATTTTTTTCTGTACTGGTCGTTTTTATTGGGGGGTTTTATTAGGTGGTTAGTTTATAATATATCAGTATGCAAGAATAATATATAATTATGTTTTGACCAAGTCATTTCTTTCTATCTTATATTTGCTGTGAGAACAATTAGAAACGCACAGTGCCTATTTTTTATCCAATATTTTCTATTTATATCATTTTGGAGATTGTAATTGATTTCAGGATAACATCTTTAAGTGTATATAATAAAATTTCAAAGGTAAGTGACAGAAACTTGTCGATTTCGGATGAACGGAAGAAACTTTGAATAACTTATTTGAACTTTTTTAATTATAAAAAAAAAAAAGAAAAAATTAAATAAACGAGCATAAAATTTATAATGAGTAAATCAAATTTTTTTTTTAATAATATTATAATAACAAGAAAAGTTGATTGATTGATTGTACAAATGAATTTTTCCATAATAGATAATTCAAAAGATAAATATTTAATGGATAGATTACATTTGAAATTTATTATTCCACATCTCAGGACAATGAATAAAATTAAGGATAATTTATATTTATTCATTGTTTTTTTAAGTGGATTAAATTGAATTGAATCTATATTAATTGAATCTATATTAATTAATAATAATAATAATTAATAATTTTTTTCAAAATAAATAAAAATAAAAATAAACCTATGAACAGTAATATCATGTCAAAAGAAATAATCTATCAAAATCTTTTTCAAATGTCAATATTTTCTCTTTTACATGATTTACTTCTGAAATATCTTTTGATAATTCATTAAAAATAAAATCATTAATTAATGGATGAAATTGAATTTCTGATTTTATAATATCTTGTATGACTATTTGAATATCTATAATATCAAAAGTAAAAATTACAGAAAAAAATTAATGCATTTTTTTTGGTGATTTAAAAGTTGTAATAATTAAAAATGTAAAAAAAAAAAAAAAAAAAATTAACCTTTAGTAAATTTGGCTTTATCTCTTACTAATCCTTTCATTAATAATAATGATGCAATTATTTTAAATACAATAAGAAACATTTTAGGATGAGAAGTAAATCCTAATGGACCTGGATCATTATTTTTATCCTGAAAATCAAATAATGCTAATATTAAATAACGTTGATAATAATAATAATAATAATAATAAAAATTAAATATCATTGTTATAAGATTATCCACCTTTATATCGTGAGATTTTAATATTTCACAAATCATATGGAATTGTTCAATAATATCATTCGCTTTTATATTTTCTTCTACATTTTCTCCCATATTTTCTTTTATTGCAATATTCTGTAAACTTTTAAATGTCAATTGAACATCCACTAGATCTTCTTTAAAAATATTTGGATTTTCTATTTCAAAAAGCACTCTAGATGAATTAATCTCAGCTCTGAAAATTTCGTCTAATGCATTCAAATTTATAAAGATTTTTATTAATATAATTAATTATTTATAAATATGCATAATATACTAAAATACTATAACATATATCTTAATTTACCTATTTTCTCGTTAACCAATAGAATTTTAAATAAATCAAAATACATTTGTGATGAATTTGAATGTTGTTTGATTATTTGATTATAACATAATTCACGTACATAATCGCAATCAACCGAAAACTTTTTTTTTTTTAATTAGTAAATATTAAAATAAATTAATCGGTTTTAATTTTAGTTACTCTATCAATAATAATAATAATAATAATAATAATAAAATATAGATTCTTGTAATTCTAGAAATTTATAAATTTTTTACAAACCTTTAATTCACTGACTTTTGAAATCATCAAAGCTATTGATCTACGGATGTCAATATCGTCATCCTAATAATAACAAATTAAATAACGTTTAATCGTTTTAATTATTATTCCATTTTATTTAATTGAAATATAACAGCAAATGGGAGTAATGAAAAACCTGAGCAAGACGTGCAAGAACTAAATATAATATTTTTGCGTGATGAATGTCTGAACTCTCGGTAAATCTTTTGTCTTTAAATAGATGACAACAGAAAAATTGTAAAGATTTTGTTGCTGCTTCACGTAATGTAAGAGTCTATATTAAAAATAAATTAATTAGAAAAAAAAATATATAGAAATATTATAAATTTTCATCATCGATACAAATAGATACAAATAAATGCAAATACATACAATTTCTGGCACTGTGTTTTTTTCTATGTTTTTGGTCCATTGCTCTAACCAAATAGATTTAAGATCTTTATTTAAAGAATCATCATTCCAAATCTATAATTATTATTATTATTATCATTATTACTAAAATCATTATTAAAAACCCTTATAAATAAATGAATTTAATATTAAATTTTTTGTTACCTGTGATAATAATGAACCTAATAATGGTAATGCAGTTACAGTAATCGATAGACTTTTAGAACTTTCTATATAATTATAAAGTTTTTTCCAAAAATCTTCCAAACTAAATTTTACCAAATTTGAAAATGGTTCCTCGTGATTTAACAATAAAAGCAATTCTCCCACTAAACGAAAACAATCGTGATTTGATTCTCCTTCGTATATCATTGTAAGAATTTTCGTTTGAATAAATAATAATTTATTATTATTATAATTATCATTTTGAATATTCTCGGTAAGCATTTCTAATGCTATCAACCGTATTTCATATTCTTCTTCATTCAATATTTCCAAAATTTTTCTATTACTAAATTCAGTTGATTCATGATTAATGAGTGATTTAATAATAACTTTGGTCATTTGTTGACGAACAAGATATGATCCAATTCTAAGATTATTTTTATTAATTCTTTGTAAATTTTTATCAAAAAGTTCGACAAATGAAATATCAAATACTGTTTGTCGAATTTTCGCGAAATGTTCCTCCATTAATCTTAACAAGACTAATATTGAAAAATAAATAAATAAGATAAATAAATATATTCTTAAAAAGAGAGAAAATATATATATATATTATTATTTACATTTCTGATTAGCTTCATTTTGTTCTCCAGAGATCCAATTTGCATTGAAAATGAATTCATACAATATTTCCAGAAACAAATGTCGCGTTATTTCACAGGTATTTTTGCATAAAAGTTGTTCTATCTTTGAATGAATTATTGGTCCGATCTTAATTATGAATTCTTTTAAAATATTCATCCCGAGAATCATTTTCAATTAATTTAATATCAGTTAATATCAGTTTAATATTTGTTAATATTATGAAACTTCAATAAAAAAAAAAAATTGATCAAAGATAAAAAACCTTTCATCACATCAAATCCTGCAACATTACTTGCGAGATGACCATTCATTAAAAATTTTATTTGCATTAAACGTCCATGTAGTTCGTTTTGATTGCTAATTTCACATGATTTTGATAAATCTGAACAAGTTTTTATAAGATCCTGTGATGCTATTAATGGAACCAATGATCTAGCTGCCATTTCTCGTGTCTATAATGATAAGAAAAAAAAATTTGCTTAGAGACCATTTGAACAGTTATTAATCATTATTAAAATTATCTTCTACCTTATAAATAGGTGAAGATGAACATGACATGACAAGAGGTACAAAGGGAACCATGTTTAATACTGTTGTACTCTCCATTAATGATGGATGAAGCCGTGACAACAAAGTAAGAATAGGATATAAACCAGGGTGAACCTCTGATCGATTGAACTAATTAAATAAAAATATAAAATATTGGTTAATAATAAATTTATTTTAACAATTAAGAATAATTAAACATAATTAATATAATTCAACATTCTTACCTTATTTATAAGTTGATCCACTGCAACTTTTAATTCACCTAATAAAAAACTATGTAATGCGGGATATCTTGAAAAGAATTCACGTCCTGTTAACTTATTTATCGAGTGATGCTCATCTTTGGTCTTTTTTGTTCCAAAAGTTCGTTGAAGTAAAGCGGAAAATAACATGACGGAACAATTTCTTATTGCCCAACTTTTTTTTTTTTTTAAATGAAAATATTTAACTGAATTAAATATCATTCATAAGAAAAGCAAAATCATCTTAAGTACTATTATTTTTTAAATATAATTAACCTTAATGAAGAAAATCCTTTAATAGCCAGAACAAATCCATCAGACACATAAGATAAAATATCTTTTCCCAATATTGCGTTCATAAATATTGTTCGTAATATATTAAATGCATGAACTTGAGGTAAATCAACAGTTTGTTCAATATCATTGGATGGCACTTCTTCGGATCCAATTTCAAATAAAGTTTTCATGGTCCAAGGAAGAAGTACTTTATGATTGTTAGGTTCACTACTAACAATTGCTAATATACAAAGAGGTAAGCCTGCACTCCTTCGTGTTATTGATATGGAATTTAGCTTAATGCTATCAATGTTTTCCTAAAACAAAGGAAAAATATGTTATTTTGAATTTTTCGATTTTTTTTTTTTTTAAAACTTTAAAGTAATATATATCGAGAATTCACGAAATCACGTACTTTAAGCCATATTTTAGGTAATTCAGTGAATTGAGTACGTTGGGTATTTAACAGTCGTGAACATATGGAAATATAACCTGGGTACACTGCAGAAAAGGCTCCTCTATGTCTAATAGAAGTCAGTAATGTTCGAAATAAATCTCCAACTTTACGAATTTGATCAATATCACAAATTGCTTCCTAATTTAACCAAAAAAAAAAAAAATTTGTAAACAATTAAAAAGATAATTTTTAAAAAAATAATTTTGAATAATTAAAATTTACATTATTTTCAAGTTTCAACGAAATTTTAACTTTTGTGAAAATTGTCGCAAGAAGTGCACTGAAAATTCAAACAATAATATTAAATTTTGTGACTAAAATATTTAAAATAATTATTTCAATAATAAATTAAGAATTGATTAATTAATCATGCCTCGCTTCTTTCACAGCTCTCCAACAACAACTTAGTATTACTTGATGTTTGGGTCCTCCTTCTTCACTATAATTATTATTACTTTCCATGTTCAAAATCAATTCATCAATTATTTCTTCCATTTCTTGAAATGATGCAGGAACATTTCCTTCAGGTGATGGATTAGATAAAATTTCTAATACAATTAAGCAAGCTTCTTCAGTCAAATTAATTGTGCGATCATAAATTTGACGCCATTCATTTAAATTGGATTTCATTATATCATAATTATGATCTAATTCTCGAAAAATATATTGTAATGCAAGGAATGTTCCATGCATTGGATATTTTTGTGAAGCCAATAAAAGATTTTCAGAAGCTATTTTGATTTGCTTATTTAAAAGTGATAATAATTTTTTTGTAAACAAAACTAAAAAAATAATAAAAAAATAACAATCGTTAATTAAATATAAATTAAATAATATATATATATATATATATATATAAATTTGCAAGGGATGATGAAATTATTATTATTAGATTCTTACTCGATGGTGGATCTTTTTCTTCAGAATCAGACAATAAATTATTAGATTCATCTTCAACATTTAATTCATATTTTAATTTGACTACATATTTTGAAAATATTATTCTAAATATCATGGCTCCACTATCACTTTCCCCTGCTCTAGTACTTGTCATTGAATTCAACGCCCAAAATAAAATTCTTTGAACTTCATCAAGTAAAATAATTCCCGGTAATGGAGAAGGAAACATTTCTAATATTTCATAAGCAAGAATTCGATTTTCGTCAAAACGATTCATCAAACAGTATAATATCAATTTTGAATTCCTTGGAGTTGCTAACGGAAGTCTAAAAGGAAAATTTGAACTATTATGTTTCTCCACAAATCCTTTAGGAAGAGGTGTGTCTTCGATACCAAATATTTTTATTAATAAAACAAATAAATTTAATGCACTTGATACCCGCTGAAATGATGCACCAGGGAATAATGAAGCAGACAATAATTCAATAAGCCAATTTAAAAATTCTTGAGCATTTTCTATCTTTCCCTTAAGTATGATAGCATCAGAATTGGCTTGTGCAACTTTTGTCCCATTATTATCATTATTATTATTATTATTATTCGCAATATATGTTAAAAAAGAGTTATAATCTCTCCATAAAGCATAAATATTTCCTCGAAGTCTCGTGAATAACTTTATTGAATGTGCATAAAGTTTTTGTCGAAATTCGGGTGAAGTTGAATTAAGATTACTTTTTAAAAAGGTTTTAAGAAGTGAAAATTCGATTGAAGTTACTTCTGTTGTTGACCTTTTTGATTCACAAATAAGTCCAAACAAATCAATACGAATATTTGAATCGAAATGATTTATTGCATCACGAAGATGTTGCAAATGAATCTTTTTAACATCTTCATCTCCAGAAGAATCTACTTAAACATTTAAAAAAAAAATTGTTAGAAAAAAAAATTACTCAAATTAATTAAAAAAAAAAGGGAAGAAAAAAATACCTTCAATAAACATGCTTCCGCTTATTAAATCTAAAGACTTGGCGATTTTAATCACCATTATTAAAGCATGTAATTTATATCGATGATCTTTAATAAAGCCATCAGAAATATTATCATTTTGTAATATAGACAATATTCGCCAGAAAGATATAGATTCAAATTTAAACACCGTTTTTAAAATGAATTCTCCTATATTCTTTCTCAAGGTGCCGTCATATGATGAAAGACCTTTACAAATAGGTAAAAGCCATAGATTTACCCATTGATTTATCAAACTCTATTAAATAAATAAAAAATAAAACATAAATAAATAAAGCATTGATTATATATATATATATATATATTTCAGTAAGCGAATAAATAATAAATAATATAAATAATAAATACATACTTCACGTTGTTCATCAATTATTCTATCATAACAATGAACAGATGATTTCAAAATTTCCTTTAAAGATTGTTCAAAGAACAGAAGTAAAAGTTGCGAAGCTCTAGGGGCAATCGTAAAATTGTGAAGTACTTCCAATGTGCAACTAACAAAATCATTCTGCATTTCTAGAATGATTTTTGACTCAATCTTAGGAAGCAACAAGATTAATAGTGCATACTTTATTTTGCGATATGGATCCATTGAAAGTAAATTTTTTATTAAATCCATTTGAAATTGTTTATATAATTCAACGGAATTTTCGTGATAACACTTAAGATAATAAACATCCAAAGATTTTTCAAAAATTGTCTTAACCTATTTTTTATATTATTATTATTATAAAATAATTTTTTGAAAAATTTTAATAAATTTAATAAATTTAATGCAAAAAGTAAATTTGAGGAAATTAAACACAATCAATAATTTTAAATAATTTTTACCTTATATTGAATAGCATCAACGGGATCATCCCAATTAATCCAAACGAAAGAAATTAATTTTTCTAAAATATTTAAACTTATTATTGATGTAATTTCTGTTATATGCCGAAAATTGACATCAGAGTCCTTTAATATATTTTCTGTTGTTTGAAGCCAAATACCAATTGTCTCAAAGGCTAAGACTTTTGTCTGAGAATTAAGTGCATTATCACAAAAATATATTATGCTTAAAAATAATAAATGATGAAGGGATTCCACGTTTGAATTATGTGTTCTATATAAAAAGAAAAAAAAAAAGATTTCTGTAAGAAATAATTTGAAATAAAAAAAAAAAAATAAATCAATGACAATTTTCACAACCTTAAAGCAGAAGTTGCTGTCTTGTTATTCCAGGATATTGGATGCATTAATGTTTCTCTTGATAAATTAGATAAAAAGCCTCGACTCACACTCAACATTAAAGGTTCCTCACCAGTCCATCCCAATTCCCCTATCAATGAATTAGATACTTGAATTTCCCATCGTTTTAAGAAATAATTCCCGGGTGAATAAGGAATTTTATAGAACTCCAATATTTGCTCACTCACAAAGCTTGGTGATCCTGATAGATTAAATGTTGCAGCTAACATCATCCCAGCCAATTGTCTAACATCTTTTACATAAAGGTTATTAGAACATATAATCAAACTTCCTTTAAATAAGTTATAAATGATAAATTTAGTTTTCAAAACATCTGAGTTATCATAGTTTTCAGATCTTTCTATGAAACTTTCGAATTTTGGTCTCAAATTTTCATTAAATCTAGATAATAAGGTTACCAGTATTTTTGTTACTTGTAGAGCATCATTCATATATTGTGAAAATTTAATTGAAGTACATCCATTTAATGATGTTGACTTGTTTTGTTCACTCGCTTCCACGCTAACATATTGAATAATCTGCATCAAACAATCTACAAAGAAGTAAATAGTATGAAATAAACTTTCTCTGACAACCGAAAATCCTATTGGAAACTCCAATGTCAAGTAAACTGTCATTGCCTTCTGATTAAACGATTGCGTTGTGTAATATTGATTTGTAATATATTTTGAATATTCTTTAATAAACGTTACATCCCCATTATTCCCATTGTTTCCATCAGGTACTTGTGTTGAAGAAACCATATGACATGATTCTAATATTGGAATGCAATGCCTTTTTGTTATTTGTTCTGAAGAAACAAAATATACTTCGAATATTATTGGTTCAACGATTTCTTTTAATTGTCGTAAGTAATGAGAAGGCAATGGGGAACTCGTTAAATTTGTCACCCGTTTAGTTTTTTTCGAAGGCAAAGATTTTTCTTTTACCAATGATAAGCATTTGCGAATGCCTTTTAAATATTGACATTGTCGCTCCCAAGTTGCCTCGGGATTATCAATTAATTCTTTAATTTTATGCACGCTCTCATGTAAGTCTTCTGTATCATGATTAAAGGTATACTTTGTAATTAAATCACCCCAATAAGGATTAATTGGAATAGGCGTTTTTGATAGATTTTCTTTCTCAAAGAAACCCATTATACTAAAAAATATGTTCCTCTCGATTTATTGTATATTAATATCTTGTACGACAAATAAAATCTCAATTTTAAACTTACATAATTTCTGATAATAAATCTGATTTTTGACTAAGTACGTAAACCAGTTACAGAAAATAATCCAGAAAAAAATTTATGGTGTGGCACCTGAGACATTGAGTAGAGGAGAATACACTCAAGCATCAGGAATTTATTCTTTTGATATGGTTACGTTAGAAGTTGAAACTAGTTATCCACATAATGCAAATCTTGCAATATATACGAGTAGACCCATATCAATGACTGGACTCATACCAAATTTAATTTATTGGGAATTGATTGAATAATTGGTTTATAATTAAATATTTATCTTTTATTTTCAATATCCTACATTTTATTTGAACTTATTATTATTATATTTTGATATTTATTCATTTATTTTATTATATTTTAATTATTTTATTTGACCACTGGGATATAGTTTTTATTTAATAAATTAAACCAGACCATTAAGTAATCAATTAAAATAAATTATTATTGTCTTGATATTTCAAAATTTAACTATTTGTAATTATTTATTATTTGTGTTTATACAGTTTATAAATTGTGTAAAGGTAAATTAAAAATCCATATGAGTTAACTTTCACTTTTTAACTTTTATAATTTATGCAAGACAGTTAATTAAAAATAAAATGCTGTTTATTGTATTTTCTCAGTGTATAAAACTCATATATGTTCTTTTCTATCAAAAATAAATTTATTGCTATCAATAATAATAAAAAAAAAATAAAATATTATTGTTTTTAGAACAAAAAATTTACATTATAAATGAAATTACATTAATATCTTTATAATCATATTTAATAATTATCTCTCATAACTATCTATAATTATTATATTATTGAAATTTGATTAATACAATAAAATAAAGAATAATACATTGGCAATTTCATAGTGTTCGCTGAATTGAAATATAAATTAGGTATTTAAATTATCCATTTATTTATATTTCAATATATGTATGGAATCAATTATTCAATCGAATTTTTATTTTATTAATCAATAAAATTTAACCAATATTTGAAATTATTCTTAAGTTATATAATATATTTACTTTAATGTAAATTTTTTTCTTTAAGTATTTGCTCAAAATTAATATAATATTTATTACATATATTTATTATATATAATTAATGTATATACATCTATATACATCTATGTCGGAGTTGTTAACATTAAAAATATAGAAACATTTATGAATTAATAATGATTGCTAACGAATTTGAATTTGAAAAAATTGGAAAGTTACAGTCTTTGATAGCAATAAATTCAAAGGTCTGAACCAATTTTAAAAAATTTAATTTTTGAATCACTTCACTCCAAGAAACAGCATTAGTTTCTATTTTAGAAAAAGAAGGGAAGAAATTAAAAATTTGGGATCACATTATAAAATGAGGAATTTGCTCAAATCCTACTTTCCTTTAACTTTGAAAGAGTGTTCTAAAGAGAATTTCAATACTTTGAAAATTAACTCTACAACAATGTTTATCTCTTATTCGATATTTTCGTATTATATTTAGGAAAAATTAAAGCCCTATTTTACATACAAAGATATCTTTATTCAGCACAATAAAATATTTACAGATTTCAATAAATAAAAAAATACGATTTGTTACATGCGTTAAGAAAATAATAATGTACATAATCAAATTTACTCCTCGAAGAGGATGTTTTATTATTGGTTACAGTTTATTTGAGAATTATTTCCACTGTTTTGTAACCATTGTATATTTAACTGTAGATAACAGATTTTACAGCCCTTTTTTGCCAGTAAAAATTTTGTCACTGTCGGGAGCGATCTTGTGACGATCACTGTTTGCTTTTGTAAAAGAATATTTATTTGTTAGTAAGGAATAAAGTTTTTTAAATTTATAAATTATTAAATTATTAAACTACTTCTAGTTTAGAGTTAACAAACATATATGCTTATACATATGCGCCACCAATAAACTATCAGAGAAAAAATTATCCATCATTTCTTCACCGACACCTGGAGACCACTAAGTGACATGTCCGAAAAATAATTTTAACATAAACCTTTTTAAGGCTGATTCAAAATGTTCTGCTGGTATTTTTGTTTGTTCACCATCCATATCCATAGTGGTTGATGATAATGAATAATCTTCAGAAGATTCATAACTAATAGCTGATGTGATATCTTGTTCCGATTCTGGTGTCAAAGTTTCTTTATATTTGTCTTCTATATATTTGATAACACCATTTGCAACTTGTTCTTCGACCAATTCATATAATGCTACTAAATGTTTCAATTTCAAACTTGCATTTAGAATACCAACGAATGATTCATTATCAAGTAGATTTGAAAGTTTCATCCATTGATTAACATATTCATCAATCAGAATTTCTCCATCCCCTACTAAAGTTTTTTTGATAAAACAAAGTAGAATTTCCAAGGAAGAAAGCAATTCGGATGCATTATCAAATGACAAATATTGATACCCTGAAGATGAGATTGAAGTAGAAAGAGTTAAAGCTACTTTATCTGTTGGAATAGATTGTTGTGGAATCAAATCTTTGATTTCACCTAGTATTATATATCCTTGGAATAATTACATATGATATGTGAATGGTTTCATGTATAATTGGGAATCGTAATAAAAACTTTTCATAAACTAAAGAATTTGCAAGTTCTGATTGAATTTTTTTTGTAAATTAAATGTAACATCTTGATCCCTGCCGACCTGAAGATTCCTTTGACTATACTGAGGGATGTCATCATTCCATTGAAAATTGACAATATTGTCCAATCATCATAGATTGGATATAATATTGAGTCACGGATTTAACAGATTTTGAAGAAGTAGTTATATTCGGAAAGATTCAAAATTCTTTTTAGTACATTCCAGTCATTTTAATATGATCCATACAATATGTTTATGCATCGTTGACAGTGTCACTATTCTTTGAAGAATCCCGTAGCAATTTGTGATGGTGCCCGAGCTCCAATTATAGCACGAACAAATAAATGCAAGATCAGCTTTTGCTAAATTTTTTCCATCAAGCAGCAGAATGAATCTAAAGTTTTTATTTACATACCTAATGAAAAATATAGAAAGAAAATAGAAATAATCATAAATTATCTAAACAAAAAAAAATAAAAAATTGTAATTCTTTAGATCTACATAACAATATATTTCTGTTTCGACAAATCATATAAATTCTCTAAGAAGAATAAGAAGAAGAATAATAATAATTAATGATAATAAGAACAGGGACAAGAACAAATAGACAACATTAGAAACAGAATTGAATTTTTTTTTTTACCATATTATTTCTAAATCTGTTAAAATCAAAGGTCTTCCTGCTTCAACACACATCTAAATATTTTAAAATATTTTAAACGTTATATTTAAGAATAAATAAAATATGATATTATATGAAAAGAGTAATAAGTACCATAATTCTACTTAAAATATCATAATAATCATCTTGATCATCAAAATTAACAACTGGATCCAATTTTTTTTTAAGTGATACGTTAACTCTTTCCAATTATCATTAAATGTCTTGCCCCTTCACCATCTAAATTACTGAGCATAAATCAATTGCTCTATTGGTATTGGAACATAAGTCCAGCCTCGATGATTATTAAATGTATCATTAACATTGCAAAAATATTTTTGACAAATTTCAGGAAAATTTTTCTGTTTCACCGAAACTTCCATATTTTTTCAGGAGTTTAATTCTTTTGAGCAGAGTGACTTCACCAAAACGTAATAATCACGAATCCATAAAATTGGGATTTGATTTGACCTTTTTTGCTCATATTCAGAATAAGAAATTGCAATTCTTATGGGTATGACCATTAGTTTCATTAATTTCAAAATCAAAATTTTGAAATATCATAAAAATTTGTTATTATCATCACGTCATTATAATAGATGAAATTGTGTGAGAAATCAAATCAAAAAAAAAAAAAATTAATGCATTTTTTTATGATTGAAAAATTGGAATATATTTATCCTTTAACAAATTTAGCGTTATCTCTTACTAATTCTTTCATCAATAATAATGTAATTATTTTAAATACAATAATAAACATTTAAGGATGTGAAGTAAATTCCTAATGGACCAATTATTTCTATCCGAAAAATTAAATAATGCTAAAATTATTATTCTATTTTATTTGATCGAAATATAATAGCAATAAAAGTAGTGAAAGTAATGAGTTAAACCTAGGTAAGATTTGCGAGAACTAAATATAATATTTTTTTCTTTCTTTTATCAATTATAAGCATTTGCGAATGCATTTTAAATATTGACATTATTACTTCCAGGTTGCCTCAGCATTATCAATTAATTCTTTAATTTTATGCAAGTCTTCTTTATTTATTAAAGGTATACTTTATAAATAAATCACCTAATAAGGATCAATTGGGATTTTCTTTATCTTTATACTAAGATATTATCTCTCGATTTATTGTATGATTATCTTGTATGATCAATTCATCACTCAGAAAATATCGAATTATCAAAAATAATGTGTACTTTGGATTAATATCTAACACTTTGAATGAAACAAATAGACAAAATCACAATACATCATAATTCTTCAATATAAAAATTATTTTATAGCAACTTTCAAATGAGATGTATTATTATATTTGCATGCTGGAATCATTTTCTTCAAACGATCTAAAAAACTAAATCAATTGATAAATGAAATTATATGAAATGAATGCCTTCCAAATAACAAATATAAAAATTTGATGTTAATAAGGAGTAATTGTGTCATCAGAAATTTTTACATCAAGAGAAATTTTTTTTAAATAAAATTAAGAATTTGAAAACATAATGAAAAAGTGAGAAGGTTAGAGTAAAACGAGTTTGAATATAAAAATATAGATCACTTTGTATTTTGGTAAAAACAAAATGATAATGGTCTAAAAAGAATCTCAAGACTTTGAAAATGACTCTACAACTCTTATTCTATATTTTCAATTTCTGAAAAAGATATTTAGAAAAATTCTATCTAATCCAACATCTTATTTTAACGGCAAGAATTATGAATGGATTTGTTGTTACCATGTATTCTACAGCCGACACATGTGAATTACAATCTATCACAAAATGCTTTATTCGTTTCATGAAATCTATACATTTTTTTTCACTTATTTACAATTATTTAATTACAACTACTTGAATAAAAAATTCATGCTGTTGTGAATTTGATTTCTTTAAAACAAAAGATAAGGGCATTTTAAAAAAATTTTATATTTCAAAATATGCATTATCAGGAAATTTTTGGAAGCAAATATATCCAGATATTTTTTTGGTTTAGAAAAATCTGGATAAATTCATGAATTTATGCAAATTTATTTGTATATATTTAGATTTTTTTTGATTCTCAAATATAAGGAACAAATATATCTGAATATTTTTCAATTTAGAAAAAATCTGAATAATTTCATGAATTTATGCAAATATATTCACATATATTTGGATTTTTTCAATTCTCAAATATATTCAGATATATTCACCCATCAGGAAATTTTTGGGAACAAATATATCCAGATATTTTTTGGTTTAGAAAAAATTCAGATAAATTTACAAATTTATACAAATATATTCACATATTGAATTTTTTTTGATTCTCAAATATCCAGATATATTTGAAAATTATTTGGAAAATTCATAGGATATTTAATAAGAAATGATACTGAAATTTTATTTTTAATTCTTTGAAGTTATGATCTTTAACAAATTTTTAGATAGTATTATTCATGTAAACCTTCTACAAATTTACAAAGACAATGGAATAAAATAATACTAAACTAATAAAAAAAAACTAAGTATAGCTATAAGAATTACTAATCTCAAAATAAAACAGTCACAATAAAAGAGTTTATGCATAGAAGGAATTAAGTATGATCAATTATAAAAGAGGCATATTTAACTATTAACAGTGGTATGAAGACTTGTTAATAGGAGCAAACAGTTTGTCAATTATCAGAAGAATACAATAAACAAGAAACTTCAAAGGATTTTATAATATTAACTTTATTACTTAATAAATCCTAACTAAAAACTAATTAAAACTTGGAGAACTAGGATAAACTGAATGAACTGAAGACTGAGTTGAAGAAATTCTCAGCCTTTATATACATTATGATTTTAACTGCTAAGCTAACTTGTAATCTGACTATAAACTTCACTAGTAACTATGTTAATATCCTAACTGGTACCTTAACTGTTAATTTAACTTGTACTTTAACTGAGATATTAACTTATACTCTGGCTTGTACTCTAATTTGTGTTCTAGTGTTACAGATTAACAAGAATTTAGGATTTTACTAATTTAAGTAATAATATCTAATTTGTACTATAGACTATTAAATTGATCTACTGTAATACTATATAATAATAAGGGATAAATATATAATAACTAATAATAAAATAATACATATACAATATAAAATAAATAATAATAAAATATAAAATAAGTAATAAAAGTAGAGATAACAATTCTCTCTGATTTAATTACAAAGTTCCATCTTATGATAACTTAAGATTGTCAACAAGGTCATTAAGATCGTTGTTGTATCTTAACAGCTTATTAAAAGTAGAAACTTTCATTCTGGAAATAACATTATAAGTCAAGGTCATAATACAATACATCTAACTTGAGTTTTTCTCAAAGAGTTGACACTGGTTAAAATCTGATATATTGGATACCTATCGGGTACTGTTATAGAAAGAAAAAAATCATGATAACATAATACTAAAAACACCTGCAATAATTAATAATAACCTTTTAAAATAATATTAGTCACCAGTCATATCACAGATCAGTAAAGGAAGGTAATTTCAATTATAGGATTGACATTGATATTGATCACTTTTTAAAAATTGATTTTTAATATTTTTATGATATCCTACATAATAACTTACACTAATTATTTATATATATAATTTTTTCACTTATGAGTTTATTATATTAAGTTTTTGTCAAAATCAAATAATTATTAAAGCATTTTAATTATATAAGATTTTTTAATAAATAAAAAATCATCAAATCTCATAACTATTACAACATATAAAAGTTTTGTCTTATCATAGTTTATAACATTATTAAATAGCAAAATATGTGATAGAAAGAAAGTAGTCCTACTGTTATACTTTTAAAAAAAGTTATTAATAATTTGTATTTCCATTTCTGTTTTGTTTTATTTTTATATTTTTTTTAAAAAAGATAATTGTAAATGTCAGAATGCGAAGACAACATTTCTTTGTACACTCTCCTGCCAAAAGTATCCAACTACCTAAAAATTCGTATTTTTTAAGTAAATTTTTATTTGCAATAACTCATGATCTAATTTATAAAATTGAATCAATTTTTTTTTTGTTTTATTCCTCTGATTCTGGCCTTTCATATAATACCTTTTATGTTGAAATTAGATGGATATTTGTTGAAAAAAATTTAACTTAAAGAAAACTTTTCAAAATTCGAATTTTAAAACTATAACTTTATAATTATTCGATTTCGATAAGTATTGATCGTAACTATAAAGAATCTTATAGAAATTTGTAGCCAAAAATATAAGCTACAACTTTAATTAGAGACATATTTGATAGTAACTAGTGAAAAGTTTGACTTTATTTAGACTGAACTAAAATTATTTATTTATTTATTTATTTATTTTAGTAGACCAGCATGATCTCATACAGTTTCCTTTAAGTATTACAAAGAATACGATGAAATTGTATTAGCTAATCTGACGATACAACTTAACCTACCACTGTGTAAAATAAGATTTTACAATTAGTAAGTTTCAACTGCTACGGCCCCACTAACATCTATTCTTAATAAATTAAAAATAAACTTGTAAATTGAGGTACATCAGTAAATTTTAATAGGTGAAAATTTTCAAAAATTTACACTATGTTAAAATTCTGTAATATTACGGGACCCACAAAAATCTATGGGATTCTGATGGAATTTTGACGTTGATATAAATTTATGGAATTTTACATTGATGTAAATTTACGAAATTTTCCATTAACATAAATTTACAAAATTTTATATTGATATAAATTTACAAAATTTTACATTAATATAAATTTACGAAATTTTGTATCAATATAAATTTACAAAATTTTAATATTAATATAAATTTTTTATAATAAAATTCTAAATATTTTAATATAATAAATAGATTTTCTAATAAACAAAAATTTTTAACAGTATCAAAAAAATTTTTTAGACGTAATATTCTATAATTTTAATACAGTATTAAATTTTCATAATTTTTTGTATAATATTTTGTAATTTTAATATAGTATTAAATTTTCGTAATTTTTTGAGTATAATATTCTGTAATTTTAACACAATAATAAATTTCTGTAATTTTTCACATAATATTTTGTAATTTTGACATAACGTTAAATTTCTATAATTTTTCAAATATAATATTACGGAATTTTAACATTTTAATAACTTTTGAAAATTTCTGTAAATTTTTGTAATATTACATGAAAAATTATGAAAATTTATCACCGTGTTAAAATTACAGAATATTATGTCCGAAAAAATTTCCTGATGCAGATCTTCTATTTCATAACTTATTTCAAAAATATTTACCAACAGAATTGCATACTTAAGAATTGGAATATCTAATTACATGTTATAAAAAAGGATTAGAATGACTCAGAAAAGTTTATTAAC